TGGCTCCAAACACAATAAAGGACAAAAACACACCGAATCTAGGTTGACCAAAAGTCTAAGGAACGACTGTGACCAGTGGTGAGCAACGAAAGCAAAGGAGATGGAAAAAGCAGCGGCTGCAGGTATAACCAGACAGCTTTTCAGACCGATAAAAAACAGCGATTAAGAAGTCATGTGCAAGTGAGACGATCTCAAAAAAGACGACACTCTTATCCGCTCTCAACCTGGACGCTTAGAACGATGAGCGGAACAACTTAAGGAGCAGTTCAGATGGCCTTCAGCTACTCCACAACTACCCATCATTCTCAGACAGCCTGAATGGAACATTGAAGTATCCCCCCAAACTCTAATTGAAGTTCAAAAAGCTGTAGCTAATCTGAATCAAGGAAGAGCAGCTGGTGCAGATGGATGGTGATCCAGTTCTGGCGATTAAATCTGACTAATATTTTAGCTAAAATCTGGGGATTGGACGTAATCCCATCTGACTGGTCACAATCACTAAATGTCCTAATATATACGAAGGAGTCAAAATCATCCTGTGATAACCAAAGGGATTAGATTAACTAATATAGCATTTAAAATACTAGCCTCAGTAATTATCAGGCGCCTAACAGTGACTCGTGAACTGCAAACACGAGAAAATCAGGCTGGCTGCAACCTGGTCGTTGATACATCGACCACATATTCACCATTCGTCATATTTTAGAACATTGGCATGCTTATCGGCGTCCGACAATGGTGGTCTCCTTTGAATTAAAATCAACATTTGACTCTGTAGACCGCGAGATTCTGTGGCAGTGTCTATCATTGAAAGGTGTACCTCAGAAGTACATAAACCTTTACTCGAGCACTACCAGTCGAATCAGAGCAAATGGCGAACTGTCACCTGCTTTTACAGCTCCGATAAGGCTGTTCACTATTTCTGTTTAATTTCATTATAGACTTACTGCTGGAGATAACGATCGTCTAAATTTTCAGGAATTGATCTCATACTAGGAGGTTTACTTATCGACTTAGAATACACAGACGATATAGTCCTGCCTAGTAAAGACGCTGATAAAATGCAGTCTTTTGGTAGCACTGGGCAACAATGCCAGAATGTTTGTGATGCGCTCCTCCTCCTCTAAATGCAAGTTGCTGCTTCAGGACTGGCCTGCATCAATACCTGAACTAAGGATAGGGAGTGAAGTAGTCGAACACGTGACAACCTGACTAAACTTGAGAGTCTGATCAGCACTAATGGGTTGGTGTCTGACGAAATTTCAGCTCGGATTCAGAAAGCTCGTTTATCTTTTGCCAACTTACGTCACTTATGGCTAGGGTGATATATCCGTCTGTGAAACGTGGCCATTAAGAGTTGAAGATATTCGTAAGTTACTAGTATTTGATCACAGATGCCTTATAAATATTGCTCTCATCTTTCGGTATAAGTGGGTATGTAGTAGTGAGGTTAAACGTGTGGTGAACCAGAAAAATATAATGGTAGATCAGTTGATGAGGTTGTGAATTTTCATCAACTGAGGTGATTGGGCCATGTGTTGTGTATGCCTGAACACCGATCACTACGATGCGCAATGCTGACTAGTGTTGGAGGTGGTTGGAAGGAAGTTAGAGGCGGCCAAACCACAATGTGGCATCAGTGCTTGAAGTCACTAACGTCTGGTCTGAGCCATGTTTGCAGATGCAGACTACTTGGTCGGGGTCCGCGCGACTATCGTTACCAGTGGTTGGAAACTGTGGGCGAAATGTCTCAAAATCGATCACAATGTCGTTGGTGCATGCACTCTTTAAATAGAGCAAGAACAAACAATAAATTCATAAAGGGAACCATATGTACTCTTTGTCTGCCCTTAAACCGTAAGATTAAAATTGCCTTCTTTTTTCTACGCACTAATTCTTTCTTCCTTTATGATATCCTTATATGTAATCTTTCTTTTACATATTACTACCATTGAAGTAACTAATATGAATTTGGTGTTCATCTTGATGTGTTAATTAGGTGTGGTAACTTGGACCGATGCATATATATGCTTGGTCCTACGTTGTAGCTGAATAACTGACTGAAAGCTCATGACAAGAGTATTAACGAACCAACAAATATGTCTCATGCAACCGTCTTCTAGATCATGGATTCTCTGATTGAACTGACAAACTATTCCCTTTTACCATTTTGTTTAAGCATCAAAAAATTATCTGAAGTACGAAGGAGATAAACTGGAATTTCCAAAAGTCATCTATGTTACCTAAAAAGATGATTTAGGATACTGATGAAAGAAGTTTCCTCGCTTTGTTCAAACACACATTTTCGGGCTCCGACCTTACAAAAACGATAATGCTGCCAGATGTGATCCATCTATCCATCCATTTATTGGGGATATAGGTGATCAGCAGAAATGCTAATATAAAATGTTCACCTGAAAGTGGCTTGAGTCTGGAACCAAAGACTAGCATTACTGTCATCAAAGAGTTGTACATTTTACCTTTTGAAGCACTAATGATGCTCTCAATCGTCATTAGCACCTGTGACATCTAATTAAACATAAACTGACGTTATCTACTACGTCACTAGCAGAAAGTAAACATCCACTGAGACACATGAAAAAAATTGGCTACTTCTTATAGTTTATCCATAGGAAGAGTGCAGATATATTCTTGAGTGAGAGAATGCATTTGAAAATAGATAATTCAAAACACCATTACCAATTTGAATAGTGTAAACGACAAAGTCCTTATGAACGGAATTCCCAAGAAACAGAAAAAAGTGTTAAATGCATAATAAACATTGACTACAATTTACACCAAATGTTTGGTAGGAGTACTTCAGAAAATCTTGTTGCCAAACACCCTGCAAATGGAAGTTTTTATAAACACCGGTTGCGATGTCTCTCTTCAACAATCCGTATATCTCACCTTTATAGGCTTACTCCAGTAGAGTTCAGTACTTTTGAAAGGGCAGGCAGCATATTTTTACACTGATAATTGTCAAGAAAGTTTTGTAGGCTCTTCTGAAAATAAAAAGTACCGACTGCTTGGTTCCAGGATGATGAAGTGCACATTTTTGAAGATTTTTCAAACGATTCGGTCAGTGCTCTGGTCCGAAGTTCACTTCCACACTTTGAAGAGGATTTGGATCGACTATTTGAGATTAGTGACATGTGATTCTTCAAAGGTTGGAGTTCATTAATGATTTTCACTTTGTTAGAAGGATAGACAACCATTAGACAAACAAAATAGAGACGTCTGGTTAGTAATCTTGGGGCAATATATCAATCAAAAGGATTTCAAAATCCTTGGTGCAGCATTGGAGTTCATTCTGAAGGCTACTAATTGGAGTGCTAATAACCTCACAAATGATCACACTGAAACAACTTCTTGCAGTTCAGATAAATTCGTTTCCTGGATGAAAATTCGTTAGACCACTATCATTAGAGAAATAAACATAGACGATTCTAGTTTGTATTTCATAATAATATTCATTTCTCCTAATTATGAACTTTGAGTGTTTTGTACTAGTTTGAGGAAACATCCTAAATATCACTCATTTATAAGTTTAAACGATTCATCTCAAACTGAGATGCAATTTTATTATTCTAGATAACCCATTTGACATGAGATATTGAGTTCGCCTAACATCCTGAGTTAGACCGCATTAAAATTTAAGATGTATTTCTTCCCTTCTAAATGTACACTACTGCGTAATGACTAGACTCAGCGCTTTCTATTTTAACCATGAGAAGTAAAATATACCGTCACGTTTGCAACTCTTTTTATCTCGTGGGCATCAGCCGCTTTAGTAGGCCAGTGAATAACAAAATCTCATCAAGGATAGAAAACACCAGTTTGGTTTTTGTTAGCTCTAACCACATGCGTGCTACGTGAGATATCCTGTTATTTATCATAGGGTGAGTATAGTGCTCAGAGCTTTGCTTTGCAGCGCTACGTAATGTTATAAGTATTGAATATGAGCGAAATACAAATAGACTGATCAAAGATATCTTTGAAACACTACATGTGCATGGCTGAATTATGGAATTTACAGTGCTGAGACTAAACAAACTGGACTGTTGGAATATCTGTTACGCATGCTCGGCTACTTTATCTTGGCACAGTGATAATTGTCATTCGAATTAGTTGAAAAAATTCATAATGGGTTCAACCAAGGTTCAAAAGCAGTTTATTTATTTACTGGCTCCAGGATTAAAACAACAGTTTATATAGCTTTAAATTTTTTCAATTATGTGTAAATGTGCTTGTTCTTCACATTCCTCGAAGTTTCGGGTCCTATTATTGTTTAATACTTTTATTTTCCAATATAATCCCATCTTTTCAAAGTGCATACTTAATATTTGAATTTTTGCAATCATAAGTCTTATTGTGTTGACTTCCCTGATTCCTATAATGTTAACTTCTGTCTGGTATGTTGTGCTTTATCTTAACATGAGCGTGTTTCTATTAGGTTTTACGTTGTTGATAGCTAATCCAGATTTATATTGAGCGTTATACTGTGCTAAACTAAACATATCTGTTCAGTTGAAGTTTGGATAAATCTCAAAAATGTTCGTACATTTCCATAAAACGTTTTTTTTGTTCAACTTTTTCTTTTTACAATGAATGGCTACTTAAGTTAGTGCCATATTTTGTGTGTCATTGGACCATCTATCTTGATTAATGAAATAATAAGATTAATTTTAACTTGACTCGATAGATTTAAACAATGCATTACACCCTGAACAAATGGAATACATTCATAAAAATAAAACGATAAAAACCTTGATTTATCACATTGGAACTCATAAATATTTGTTTGTGTGTTATAGAAATCTGTTTGTTTCTCTTTTTCTCTTCACACATCATTGATGTTTCTAATTAACCAATAGTAAAGAATAGTGATTTCGACATTTCTTATATAATTACTTTTTTGTTTGTTTTTAGAATTTAAAAACAAACTTTTAAAAGTATTATCTAATTTGATCTGTGTTCCAGATTAATTTTGGAGCTCAATGAACAAAGATTTATATGGTAGGTCAGCTGTTAATATCCATCACTTTAATTGTGATATTCTGTTAGTTAGTTAGTTAGTTAGTTAATTTTTTCTTATTTACTGCAATGTTGATTTTTTTTTTCTTTTCATGGCGACAATTGATAGGTAACTGTATTGTATTAATTAATAGGAGATAAAGAGAAACTCAATAAATTTCATACATACACAAATGCTAACATAATTATTAAATGAATGATAAGTATTATTTGGTAAAAAAAAATAATCTTTATCTGAAATGAGGTCTGCGTAATTGCGGAACTATTTTTAAACTGATTATTTTAGATATAACTAGAAATAATAACTTGATTTTAACTACTGCTATGAGAGGCCTGTGAAGATTATTGAATTTTATAGTTTACACCTTATTAGTGAACCAGTACAAAGACTCCACCGGTAATGAAATTCGGAACCTTCAGTTCAGTTCTATGAGCGTCCAACATTCAGAGCTTTGAGCTGGTATCTAATCTTTCAGATTGTTTGACCCTAATTCTAATCGTTTTGAAGCATTGAAAATAGAATTTCATAATTTTGTTTGTTACTTTTAATAGTCGGTATATATATATATATATATATATATATATATATATATATATATATATATACCGTTTTTTTAACAGTTCTCTTAAATCTCCTAAAGTTCTTTAGGATTCATATTTCATTTTACTAAACCGTACGAAACATTAATTTGAAAAGTTAAAAAAATCGCTAAATAAAGTCATATCTAGTTATTGTATATATGTCATTTCTCCGTGGTTTTAAATCAACTGAATGAAGTTCATCTTGATCATTACAAACAATAAATGGGGTAAAAAAACATAATAAATGTTAAGTAATGGAATGTTCTTATTTGTATTATCAATAATCTTGACTTTTTTGACCTAATTGGGGTCCCCATGATTATCATAACCAGTGGTTAGAAACATGGCTTAAAACCGTTTGGAATGGCTCTGGTTCATCCGTCTTTCGTCTTCCTTCAAATTCCAAGATTCAAAATTCCTCATGATTGTTTTATTTTATTATTTCACTAATTTCTTCTCGAATCGTATCTTCGATGTCTAATCTTTTCTATTACAACTGATACCGTTACTGCCTCTACTATTCTATGATTTGACCTGACAACTTACTCTCTCAGTACTAATGGTGTTTGGCAACTTGAATCTCTGTACAAATATACCATTTTCTACGTTGTGACTAACTGACTGATCTTAAAAACTTGGTGGAACAAACGTAATTCGCTTTGAAACTACTTAAAATCATTTTCAACTTTTAGACATGTGACTTGCTTCATCTAAAGTGAACCAAAAGAACACAGTACAAAATGGTCTTTAAAATCTCGTTTTATCTTATCATGCTAATCTTATTCTTTTTTGTTTTCGTTCAAATTACACTCACTAACTTTGACTATTTCATTTAATTTAGTGACTTGATATCGCCTAATATAGTAATTTAACCCATGAACTAGATAACCTGTGTTTACTTGATTACTTTGAAAAACTTTCTCTCCTGTCACATTTTTATTATCACATGATTTACTTAAATCAAATCGTGATTTTATTTATACGAAATTATAAATTAAAGTAAGTTGGGTAATAGTCAGTGTAATTGACTCAAAAATTTCGAATGAAGGGATGTAATATGAACTATGATTTAAGACTGTTTTTACTGTCAACTGATTGTAAGCCTTATGTGCGATATCAATGAAAATGAGATATTCTCACTATGATTCATTCAAAGCTTTGGAACTTCTCAAACGTTAATTAATTCAAAATTGTCACGGTCGATCGTTGTTATACATTACATTCTCCTCATTTTACTGTTAATATTCCAACCAAAACATCAAAGTTACTTTGAGGGATAATATGAAGTGACTTTTAAGCATTGTATGTATTTTCAAATACATTAAGAAGCAGAGCATCCCTCAACTTCAATCGCTCGTTTCTTTAACTATAAATGCGAAAGTATTAACCGTTCAATACTTTTGATCACATGTCGTTTTCTTTAAATACAAATATTCCATAACCTATTTGCATGACAAAAGATAACAGTCGTTCGTATATTTGGGAAAAATATGGATATCATGTGGTTGTTATAAATAGGGTCGGTCAGAAATGTTAGCCAAGTATTCAGTATCCAAAATTATCTGTTGAACCAATGTCCTTATTTTTAATAGGAATCTTCATTTTCTTGGGTAAATCTCAAATGTTTGATGTAGGTATTCAATAATATAATATTTTGTAATTTTTCTTCATTGGTTGAAAACGTTAGATAAACGACTTGGTGAGAATTAATTACTCCAGAACATCGGAATATTAATATATTTCTCTGATTTTATTTAGGATAATGCTATATAAAAATATTCGTCTTGTGACTGATCCTCCTAATATCTTTAACCTGACTAAGGGAACTTGAGTTGACAGTCTCCAGTGTCAATGATTATAATTATTCCTCACATCATAAACATTTATATTGATGAAGCTAAACAAGTAATGAACATGGCACCTGCTTTTCATCCACTGTAGCAATATGTAAAGTAAGAATTTATATTTTCACACCTATCAAAAGTTACGTAAAGCACAAAAACTAATTGTTTTCTGAAGGGGATCTCTTTCTGGCTGACATAATGGAGTTTTCCTTCCTTTTAAGAACAAAAACATTATTGTTCTTGGTTAATCTGACAGTGGTGTAACTATCTTGTTTCTTGCTTTGACAAAATATGATGGTACTAGGTTTCTCATATAAGGGTTGAAAGCTTGTATTCAGGAGGAAACATTATAGTGTCAATTATAAGTTTCGTTGGAGGAAAATTTGTTGTCGCTTGGGCCGTTTAAAGTTTGTGATGTCTTGTTCACATTTTAAGATTCTTCATATCTGGAAATCTTTTTTACTGAAGACAAGATGATGATTTCTGGAGCTCATGTTTCTCGATCTTCTGTCTCCAATGTAAAGATATGATCTTTTGAAGAAGTCATTATTCTGTTCTTTCTACGTTAGTATTTTTGTGAGCAATATGGTTTTTGTTTTTAAGTACGTAATGAATTGTGACTCCTAATTTTCTGGTGGTTACTGATCTAGATTCTTTTACTCCACTTGTCACATCTAGTCACTACAACTTCGAAAATTACTTCTCGATGTTAGTCACTAGTGAGCACATGATAGTTATCAGTATAGGGTCAAGGAGATTGTTTAGTTTTTATCGGGATCATGGACTGGTACACACCGACAAGGAGCCTCATACTGGGACAAAACGACCGTCCAGTGCTTCCAGGTTCTCAGTGGTGGTCTGACATTAGTCGGTTCGTAATCTCAATAAAACTCAACAATCTCGACAACCATAAACTGGAAATAATCATTATTTTAATAAGAAAATCATTGACCAAAAATAAGTTACTTTTAAACAAGTGTGTTGTTGTTTACAGAAAAGTAAAAGTTTCTTTAGACAGTTGTTTTATCTTTAGAAATGTGTTTATTTGAACAGTTTTTTGTTAGTGATCTGATTTTCCTGAGTATTCATCACTGAACCATATGCAATCATAGTCATAGTTACAATGTTTAAAATATAAAAACAAAATATCATGTGAAAACAAGTTACAGGAATAAGGTGACAGTCTATTTCGAATACGGTAATTAATGGAATTATTGTTTAAGTATCTTTGCATTTACAAACTAAGCTGATTTTAGAGATAAAATTAAGAGGCATCCTTTACAGGATAAGGAATGGTCGGAGATATAATAAAGAATATTATGTATATATATATATATATATATATATATATATATATATATATATATATATATATATATATATATATATATATATATATATATATATATATATATATATATTAACGCAGCTAAACTACAACTAGTATTTTCCACACGACCAATAATCACTCCGAGGTTGAACGATAAATTACCTAGACTAGCCACCTCCTTCTGTATCTATCAATTCAACTGCTCCTGTGGAGCAAGTTATATTGGCAGATGTCCTAGGAATTTGTACATTCGGGCTCGTGAGCACCTACCCGTGTGGTTAAGCAAAGGTGTTGTCAAAACTGTTAACAGCTTCATCTTAGACCATTTAGTCCAAACAGGACATACAGCCAACATGGAGCAATCTTTTGCAATAGTTTATTGTGTCAACAGCAGTCTACCTAATTCCGTCAGACTGCGAATCCTACAGACGGCTAAAGCAATTGCTATTCGGATCAAAAAGCCAGAGCTTTGTATCCAAAAGAAGTATGTTCAGCCACTCCTTTTAACCTGGCCAACTAGCTAATAATCAATCTTAAAATATGGTGACGTAATCTGATTAATGTTCATTTTATGTCCCAAACTTATTATTATTATTATTGTCTTTACACTTGATAACCCGTTTTTGAGGAATTTATTCAATATCCACCCCTGAATCTAATATATTTGACCTAATTATTTTACATATTACGCAATTTCTGATTTGTAACCACAATATTCTCTCTCTCTTACCCCATGTTGACCATATTTATTCTGATCATTTATCTCACAATTTCATTTCGCTTATAAACTGATTCAAGTTAACAACTTCATATTAGTCAGCCCCAACATTAACGATTTGATCTGATTTGATGTAACAAACAACAATTCTTGATTCACATATTACAATTTCCAAATGATAATGTACTCTGCCTTAAATCTGGCCAATTTTATGGATTATTAATTTGCATATGAGATAATTGTAGAACCTGATGAGAAATTCATTGAAAAGAATATTCTTCGTTCATACAATTGTGTTTTTAATATTTTATTGTGTTTAAAATTATGATTATTATCGTTGAATTGAAGTGTTTCTTCTGTTTGCTGATTTATCTAAACTTCTCAAAAACAGTATGTTTATTATCATGTAAATGAATGAATCAGCTGTCACGATTCAGACAAATTAATGAAACAAATCGTTCAATTATTCTTCTCAGTCGTTGTGAGATTGGTAGTGATAGTTGTAGCGCAGACATATCAATTACATACTTTTTCAAAAATGTATACTTGTACTGGTTTCCCACCCCTTTATTTTAGACTTAACTGTAAACACTAGACATATAATAATTTATTAGAGGAGCCTATCGTTATTACTGTTTTTATAATCACAAGATAATACATAATGAATATCTTTGTCTGTGTGTTTATGTGTGTATCATGTACATAAAGGCTGTTTGCAGTCAATATTACGATTGAAGTAGGGAGGAATGGCTCTGTAATAAAACAAATCATTTCTTGTCAATAGATGAAGGACTATATATATATCTATTACTTCATGAAGCAGAAAACTTTACATCATCAATTAACAAGAATTAAACCATAGTGTAGTTAATGAAAAGGGATAATATTCTATATGGTAATTGTGTTAATTATGTTGTATTATGTGTATATTTCTGTACATATATGTAGACCTGTAACATATTCATTTAGGTTTTTCATTAGATAGAAAGTTGATTACTTTACTACAAATATTTGAAAATTTATTCTTTGGAACATGGTACCGATCGTTATTATTATTATTATTAGTGGTAGTAAATTAACAATATGTCACACTAAATTCATTAGTTATTCTGTGGTAATATTAACAGGGAAAAATTATTCCTCTTTTTATTATCAAACTTAACTGAAGAACTGAGTGACTATAGATCATTTTACTTGGACATTTTAAAGTATATATATATATATATATATATATATATATATATATATATATATATATATAAATTAAAACAAGAACATACACTAAAGAACTTGCAAACAGCCAATTTTATTAGAAAATTAACTCTTTTTTTATAAATTAGCTGATTTTACATATCTAATATATATATAAAATTTGTAATCAGTGGGTGTTTATGGTAAATGCTTTATAACCTATAGGGTGCTTAAAATGATTTATACATTGATTATCAACGTTTCTGACAAAACAATTCAACGAAAAAAGAAACTAAAAATAAGATATATTAACTAAATACATATTTATTTATCAGGCTAAATCTCTCATATTTGACCTGTCAAATAGAAATATATCAGTCTGGAATCCAATCTGAAATCAAGTTATTCAATGCCAATTGAATATAATCAAAAGCTATTATTCTAGTAATTTTGTCGTCAGAATGGATATTAAGAAAGGGTACAATTAGAAAGAAAACTCCTTAGCTATAGTTCATTATTCTATTTATCGTATAAGAAATGAATGTATAGTATGATTGCAATCCAATCTACACTTCACACACACACACACACAAGAAAAAATAATAATTAGTTAATAACAAAATTACATAAGAAATTATATAATGAAACATTTAGTTTAAAAAAAAATAAAACCCATTTCCTATTAATCAGGGTGTGATTTATTATTACTTATTAGATTATCTACATTAAATAAAAGTACAATAAAAAATATATTCCATTATTGTATATTATAAATACAAAAAAGAAGTAAAAAGAAAAAAAAATAATAATAAAAAAGAAATAATAAGAAATTTAGAAAGATAAACTTAAATGAGCATAAAATGATTTTTTCTTGTTTGTACTTTTCTCAATTTGGATTGTTTTTCTTTTTCAAAAACAAGTACATGACAATTAATAGTTTTACAAATCTACCTAAATAATCATCATTATCATATTTGAAATATTTTTTTTCTTTATATAATTAATTAGTTTAAAGTGAAATCTTTTTATTATATAATAAAGAGTATTTGATGATTTATTCTAGGCTTTTGATATGATTCAACAAGTTAAATATGAACTGGAAATCTTTTGTGTCTTGGTTTTAAACAAGTTCCGTTTATCAAAAGGGGTTTTTTGGAGATTTTAGTAATTTAAATAATTCAGATCAGAAGTCAATTCAAGCTAGACAATCATGGAAAACTTCAAAGCAATGGACGATCGTTTCGTCCTATTATGGGACTGTTCAGTAGTGCACATCCACGATCCCGACCTACACGAGATTCGAACTGAAGACCTATCAGTTTCGCGCGTGAGCGCTTAACTTTTAAACCACTGAGCCGGAAGATATCCAACAGTGTTAATGTCTAACTTCAACCAATCCACGAAATCGCACCACCGTACACCATTGCCTTCAGTGAGTTGATATCTCACAACAGACCTGGTGGAACTCTACTTGTCACGACTTTTCACTAAAACATCTGGAAATGTCTCTTGAAGTCAGTCCAATGCTTTCAGGTTTTCCATGGTGGTTTAGCTTCAATTGACTTATGATTTCAACTACTGAAGTTCAGTTTAGTTATTAATTTACACATCATTATGTAGAATATGGAATGTATATTCATCAACTAGATATTCGTTAACTGAATTATGAAAACTATTATAGATAGTTTTTTTATGTAGTCTGAAATAAAGAATGATTTAATCTATTCCATGCAAAATACTGAATTAAAGAAACGTTGAAATGCTAGTCTATCATGAGTTGATTACTTGATGATTTTACATGTTATTAAATAGTTATCTGAAATAAATTATGGAAATATATTTCATTTTTATAATAATCTGCTTAAACATAATTATCTTTTTTTATATTATAGTTGTTGAGGAAGAGCACAGTGGAAGTTCCGACAACAGAGAAGGATACAAGCTCAGTTTTCATACTGGGTCTTATCCAACACAAATGTTTATCGAACTTCAAGAATTGGTACCAAGGGTGGATGGTGGATTGCAGTTTAATGAATCTATTTTTAAAATGCCAGTTGCAGCTCATTTTCGAGTTCTTTGGTTAGAAACAGCAAGATGGGTGAATTTTGAAGAAAATTTTAATGAAGTGGAACAACGTTTTACAGAAGCTCATGTACCACCTATGAAGTTTTCTTGTATAAATAGCTTCAGGGATAAATTACAACAGAGTAAGAAATTAAATGTTAACGTTTTTGTTAAACTCTTTATTGTATGTTCCTCAATGACAGGAAATACATTATCTAAAAAAATTAATACAAAAATTACATTTCATGAGTTCTGTGGAATATGAAACTTTCATTCCAAATGTGTTTATATCAAAATCCTTAACTTTTTTCCTATAATAGAAGGTAATGGGTTAATAATTATATGTGATTATTACAGCTTATTTATATTATTCGTTTTCATCAAGATATTCTTTTATTAAGTAGACAGGATTTATTTAGATTATTTCAATAAATTAAATAACATACTCGTTATATTCCAATGTAAGAAAATTTTACAGTTATTCAGATAATACAAATACATTAATTTTAATAGTTGAGATCATGAATCAATTCAAGCTAGACAATTATGGAAAACTTCGAAGCACTGGGCGGCCGATTCGTCCCTGTATAGGACTTCTCATCAGTGCACATCCACGATCCCGCCCCCCCGCGAGATTCGAACTGAGGATCTATCAGTCTCGTGCGTGAGCGCTTCACCAATAGACCACTGAGCCGGCATCATGATCTCAACTATTGAAATTAGTTTGATGTCCACAAACCTTCTTCCTGATATTAGTCAACGTATGCTCACTGGTGACAGTCTCCAAGAGGTATTTCCTGGAATTCTATTGAGAAGTAATGTCCAGTAGAGTTCAACCGGGTCTGTTGTGAGATATCAACTCACTGAAGGCAATGGTGTACGGTGGTGCAATTTCATGGATTGGTTGAAGTTAGACATTAACACTGTTAGATATCGGCCGGCTCAGTGGTCTAATAGTTAAGCGCTCACGCGCGAAACTGATAGGTCTTCAGTTCGAATCTCGTGTAGGTCGGGATCGTGGATGTGCACTACTGAACAGTCCCATACTAGGACGAAACGGTCGTCCATTGCTTCGAGGTTTTCCATGATTGTCTAGCTTGAATTGACTCATGATCTGAATTATTTAAATTACTAAAATCTCCACAAAACCCTTTCTGATACAAATATATTAATTTAACTTTTGTAAATAATCCACAATTGTTAATTTCTCATTGAAATTACCAGAATAATTTTTTTTGGAATGATAACTATTTGGAACAGATATTTAGTTTATTTTATTTAACCATTAAAGACATTTAAACTATTTGTATAACCGCAAAAGCATCTATGCATTAAGTTTTATTCAGTTCTATTATAAAGAATGAGTATGAAATTTAGTAAGCTTGTGTGTTTTATCATAATTATCACTTTTAGATTTCTACTAATCATACTCAATGGAAGTAGTTGTTTCTTTTAACTGTTTTGACCAACTCACCAAGTAGATAGCGTCTTTTAATGGAAAAATATTTGTTCGTTTAGTTTTTCTTTTTAAAAAAAACTAACAGAGTTTTATACATCAAGCTTAAACAAATATCTGTAGAGGCTAATTTCCTCTATATCTGACTCCAATAAATAGTATCCAGTTAACGGAGTATTTAATACAGGCTAAATCTCCTAGTAGAATTACGGATTTACTCAAGATTATTCAAAAGCCCGAACATCAGTCCTAGAAATAGTTTATTGTTAAAGATTGGTAAAATCCGCAAGCGTATAGGAAGCAAGCACACAGGGAAACCAAGTGTGTGTGTGTGTGAGAGTGTTAAAAATCCATATATATATATATATATATATGAGTGTTAATCAAGTATGGATAAATTATTGATTGTCTGTGTATTACAACCAATGGGAGAATAGATTAAACATTGACATGTGCTCAATCAGACTCACACAGAAATTTACATAATGAATTAAGTGTCTAAATTACAATGAGCAGATAAATAATACAGTAGTAGAATGGGCTTACTACATATCAATATATATGATTGTCGTGAAATAAACTCTAAACTCTAAACTTCTAAATGGAATATTTTAACTAGAAGAGTTTTGTTATCAAGTACAATCTAAATAATTTAATTTTATAAATTTCTTATAAATTTTGTAGATAATTATCGTTGACAAGTGTTTAACTATTACGTAATAAATTAAGCTATGATAATGTTCTACAAAGTTTTTCAGCATATATAGTAAAACGAACTACTATAATAATTAGTTTTCTATTTTATATAAGTAGTCTAGATTACACATATCTCTTCTGAAAAGCATGAATTATGAATAGATTAAGATTTATGGACAACTTGTTAAATAGGTTGAAATCAATGGTTTAATTAATAAAAATTTAACTGTTTGTTTTCTCTAACATTGGCACACATTATAATAAGCATTCAATTCATTTAACATTCTTTTAATTTTCTGATCTATGAAATAGGTATCTATAGTTATATTTTATAAGAAATAGTCTTAATATTTAGTTAATCTACTATTATACTATATTTAATACTATTTCAACTAGGTTTTATATACATCTAATAAATGATGTCTTTTTTTGATTTTGTATTTAAATCAACCTTGGTTATCAGAACTCAGTAGCTAAGTGAATAACGCGATGGCGTTTGAAGCAAACGGTACTAGGTTCGAGTCCCAGAGTGAACATAAACTCTGAGATGCAGGTACATCCAATTGACGAGTCCCAAATAGGACGAAATGCTCTTCATCAATTCTACTGCCAGCCACTATCCATCTTTGCTTAAAAACCATGATCTTAGTTTTTTTCTAATCCTTTCCTGATTCATTACTTTATACTATATGGTGATATATAAAAAGAAGTTAGAAATATATAGCTGATAAGTTTAAATTACTCCAAGAATATATTGTTCTTTTGTTGTTGTTGCATAAACTAACAATCGATACGTATATATTTTTCTTGAGTTGTATAGTTGTTATCAATCATGAAAATTTGTTCATGTGAAGGAGAAGAAAAAAAAACAAACTACGTAACAATGATTTCAATGACAAAATAACACTAAATTTAATGTTTGCTGTATGATATAGTTGTCTTATTTTATGTTTATAATGAGTAACATTTTATTATTTAAGTGTCTTTGACATCTCGTGAATTAATTAGTTTAATTGATTTTTGACTCATTCCATTACACATAGAAAAAAAAAACATTTTTAGAGTAATATTTTGTCAGATGACTCTCTCTGTTTTTTTTCTTTTTTCTGAATGTTTTTCTTAAGTAGTCACTTGATAACGTTGATTTGATTTTGTTGAAGATAACAGAATGTTTGTACAAAACATTGGATTGAATATTATTGATATTTGATATTCTTAATATGAATAATTTATTAGAAATAAATAACTCATATCAATCGATAACATGGTGTTACTGTAGATTTTCTAGGTGTGAAAATTAATAGTGTTTTTTGGGAGAATAATAACAACAGAGTTGTTGTTCGATCCCAGTGTACTATTATGTGAATGTGAATTTCGATGTTCCTCTACTATTCAGTGGAAATTAATAGGGAAGGTTATTAATAACACTGAATAATAATATTCAATATCTTTAATGAAATCACTGAAAATCTATTTTGTGGATTATTACTTGTTGGCTGAAATTATATACTAATTTACTGACATAAGATGGTAGTTTTGATGCATCGATAACTATTGTAAATTGAAAATAAGGGTTAATGAGTTCCGATTTGGTGGTTTTATTCTTGTATTAGACTGACAATAATTTCATTTTATCTAAAATTAAACATGTTTTTGTTCAGATATAGTTTAAAACTAACTTTTGTATGATGTCATGATATCATGCTTTGTCATTTGTAGGACTTGATATCACTAAAAATCAGAACCGTATGTATGAATTTATTCACCACAGCAATATTGAGTTTTGTGTTACAGAATTTTATTAGGTGATTCATATTACGTGGTGGTTTCGTATTTATATTGCACTTTAAAGAAATAGCAGTGAAATGACGGCGGTCTCCTATACAACTTTGCAATTCACGTACGATAGACCCTTTCTTTTCCTGTTACTAAAATGTCATATTAACATGATATTCCATTTAGACATATCGAATTTTAAAAATCTTCATTGGCCAATATTTGTTAAGGTTACTAAGATATCCTGGATAATGTTTACGTTTTATAGATTTTTATAGCTACAGTCATCTGGATTTTGCTTAGTACATTAATTTGTTTAGTATTTGACAAAGTAGTGTAGTGATGATCATGAAGGATATTTTTGATGCATTGGTTGGCATTTCAGTGCCACTTATTTGAACTAAGAGCAAATAACACCGGAATTTCTGATCTGAAAAACTAAAATATAAGAAAACAATATTTTCAGACATTTGACTAAACATATTTATATTATGCTTTTAATTATACAATGGATGAACAAAAACGTCATTGGTAATGGTGGGATTATCAATTTATAGATTGACTTGGCCCCAATCTTTTGTAGAAATAACTATCCCCTTATTATAATATCTATGCTTCTAATTGGTTATCGTTATTATGCACGTAACAAACTCTTAAACGGTATTTGTATATTTCATAGGGTATTTACTAATGAGTAGCTTGGAGAGAACATTTCTGGAATTCTAGTGAGAGGCCGTGATCAGTGAAGTACAACCGTGCGAGGCAGTCACACAAAAAAACAATCGAAGATGGTCGTGCAATGTTGTGTATTGATTCAAATTAGACACTGACACCACTGGGTGTCATTGGTCTAGAGGTTAAGCAATGGCACGCGAGATCGAAGTCCATCGGTTCGATTCTCGCATTGGGGATCTTAAAGAGCACTTCTGGAAAGTTCTCTATTAGAAGGAATCGACTATTCAGTGCTCCCAAATTTTGAATGGTGGTCTAACATTGATTGGTGCATGATTCGAATGCGATAGATTATTAAAATTTCTAGTTATCACAAAAAGAGTATTATGTATTCAATTCAATTCAAAAGGACTTTAGTGATTACATTATGAATAACTCACATTGTTTATTTCAATATACTAATTGATAAATGACCAATTTCTAAATTCAAATGAATTTTGTCGTGTATGTGAAATTTAACAAAAATAAATCGGTTCGTAAAACTGATTACAATAATTTAGCAGTTGATTTAGTTACTGGGGTCCTATTAACAGTAGTTACTGATTTAAAATTTGACATTTATCTAGGATTTCAAATAGATCTATTATTCAATGTCAATATTTATTTCCTAATCCACTGTATTTTATGATCATACTACTGAATAAATTATACTTTTGAAAACCTTATTTAATTCATGTATAATTAAAATTATATTCATTATAAATTGCTATTATTTTATCGAACTGATCATACCTGTTTAATTTATGATAGTTTTATGAACTAGGCCAACTGTGACACAAACTAACATGATTGTTCTATCATTAGTAGTTTGTTTAGTTAAGAAGAAAAAAAAAACAAAAACGAATTTCTATGTGTATATGTATCCAAAGTCATAATGATGTGAATTAAAAGAAAGAAAATAATTTATACAGTTTTTTTTTCAATCATTCTACTTGGTTATTTATGCTCAATGCTCTTTTTTTTTTGTATAAAAAAAACAATGAATAGTTGATTAAGTGGAACGTTATCATAGATAAATAGATATTAAAGTGTATGAATTTCTTATTATGTCATTATCATCATTCATCATTTACAATCAGTTTCTATGTAATCAGTTTTAAATTAATAGTTTGTTCATGTTGATTTATGCAATTGTAAATTGATTAAGGACAGTTTCATTTTATATAGAATATTAATATGATTTTATTCACTTTATGGATATTTTATCTTTTATTTATAAATTAACAATAAAACAATTGATATTAATTCATTTAAAATATTCATGTTTAGTTATATGGTTTTCTTGTAAAGCCTAATGAAATAATTTACTTAACTGAACTGAATAAGATGGGATGGGTTTTTAGACTTGATCATTGAAATTTAAGTGTTTCAACCATAGAACCATTAATTATATTCGAAGCTAGTTGTATACATTTGATGCATTTGATGGATAATAAAATTTGATGTTAGGCTAAACTAAATTTTTATCACATTATTTTATTTAAAACGGTGACAGAAAATATTGAGTAAGTGCCAGTGAAATTTAAGACTCAACTTTCGCTTTGTTTACGATTCGTCAGATGGATGCAACATTGAACGATCTTAAATGTTAACAATGATAGCTGAACTCCATATCTGTCGTTTAAAGTTTTAAAGGAGTATTCATTGGCTTATTGAGTGAAAAAAGTCTGTAATTTATTCAATGACCTCGTATGCATGAGCTTCTTAATCATATTAACGGAAATAGATCTTGTACTATTTATGGAGCATTTAAAAAAATCTCATTCTTGTTGAGATTTTATTGTTTTCAATCCAATATTTAATGTTATTCCATAATTGCAAAAGTAAGATGAATGTTCAAAGTGAATGTTCTAAGGAGAAACTTACTAAATCGTCTTGTTGTTCAAAAAACAAGTTCAGCTTCGACAATGTTGAAATATTGGAAAGTGGTGACAAAGAGAAGACATGAAAATTGCTTGAAACTTTGTATTCAGTTTATTCAAGGCTTATTACACCTAGTCTATCAACCAATCACAAAAATTATTAACAGTCATAAGGTTATGAATCGAGTCAGTGAGCAGGACAGTCACTATTAATATGAGGACAATAATAACACAATTGTTGTTAAAAACCTGTTCAACTGAATATGGATTAAACCAGTTGTGAGAAAATTTAAAAGCTCACTTCCAATTGATTACGAGCTATCCCCTGTATATCGTGTTTCCCCTCAAATGTCGAGGTCTTCATGACCTAGTCAACACGAGATGAAAGAGAAATGGGGAGAGTAAGCAGCCTTGTTTGACTTCAGTCCTCACTTTGGAATGTGTATATCAGCTGTCTTCCATGCACCACTTTGCATTTTTTACAGGGTATTTTTTATTATGAATTGATTTTAATTACGGTACCATTAAAAATCGGAATATTTGGGTGCATAAAGTTCCTATGTTCTCTTTATTTTACAAACTACTTTTCCATATGTTCTTAGATGAATTAATGGTTAACATTATTCACAAACATAATTAGAATACGGTAATTAAATCTGATAATTTATGTCTGTTTTTCATGTAATGGATGGCAAAATCTAACTGAGAAAATACACCATCTAATAAATATGTAAACAAATATAATAACTAAAACAATCTTCTTTGATCTATGTCTCAATTGTTATCCTTACATTTGTTGAATATTTTGGTCTTTTAGAAAAACTGTTGGTTGATATTAGATGGTGGTTGGAGGTAGTCGATAGGAAACCCTGGACCCGTGTTTCCTGCTACTTGGCACTTGTCAGCAAGGTGTGCCTGTAATCTTGAGAGGACTGGTTCTCCCTGACGGATTCGATCCCTCAAGTTTACTTGTAAATCTTGCTGACAAGTGCCAAGTAGCACGAAACCCGGGTCCAGGGTTTCCTGTCGACTACCTCCAACTACCATCTAATCTCAACATAGTGCATGCAATGTCGAGTCACCTAGACTGGTGGCCACATTGCAACTCGATCGATAGCATTCGATCTGCACTAATAAAAAATTAACACACATGACACTGATCACCACCAAGTGACCAATCAATTGTGACTGTTGGTTGATGTTTAATAAGCATGAAAATTTAATTAAATCAAATTTTCTATGTGAAACTAATATCGGTATTATAATTATTGTCAAAGTACTTTTCACACATGTATATACCACTATATTTGTGAAATTGAAAATGTATGCTAGACTATTCAATTTTTTTTGTAAATGAACGATTTCCTTAATCGCATTGAACGATGGTTTATTTTTACTGATCTGATACTAAATCCTTTCAAATTCTAAACTTAAGTATAAGACGTAAACACTTTAACCCTCTGTTGAAATCATATGAATGTGTATTGTTGAGGTTTGTGTAAATGTCATTTATATTAGTGTTAATTTTCTTCTAACCACTCTTATCTTCCTAAGTTTTGTTAATATGAAAGTTTTCGATTTAGTATGCAACGGGAAAAGTGTTTAAATCAACACTTGTAAATTCTTGTTCACAATTTCTTATCTATAAATCCCCGTGATATCTTTCCTAGAAATTTTGAAAAAGTATGCTGTGTTGCTTAGAGCGTTATTGGTAATTAGTAGTAAGCAGTGAGTATTTTTACGTCATAATAAATGTGGTCAGGAACAGACATTTGAAAATCTTGGAAAAAAGTGAGGATTCTTATTTTGTCGGACACAAATGAGCAACTTTGTCCATATCTTTTTTTTTATTTAACTCCCAGCAAAACGAGAGAGAGATTCATTAAAACTAATGCACGAGGAAAATCACAAATGTTTAATAGTAATTCTTGCGTTTGGGACCATAACACATCATCGTTTGAAGATTCCATATATATATATATATATATATATATATATATATATATATATATATATATATATATATATATATATATATATATATATATATATATATATATATAATAAAATTTAACTTATCATGATTATAATTTCATATATTTGGATCGTATGATCAATTTACCTTAACAAGGGACAATATCAGTTGAATTTGATAAGACGGTTGTCGATGGTACAGATTAAGTTTATAAAACTTCAGCTTCCTTAAGGATATCATAAATCTCTCATTAAAGTTTTAGAAATAAAATGATTGCATTCATAATTGTGGTAGTTAACATATAGGAATGAACAGAATAAATATCTTTAGCAACAGCATGCTGTGGCACAGAACAAGCCACCTTCTAACTAAAGAGGAATTAAGAAAATACATAAATTGCGGAAATCATCAAACTGCATCACGAGGCAAGCACCAACTTCGATTTATGAAAGGAAAAGGAGAAAAGGAGGGACAAGGAACGTATTACATCGGTAATTGGAAGCAGATATAAAAAGAATAACAACTGGAAAAGAGAGCCCAAGACAGAGTTGGATGAAGAATCCTTGTGTGCAGCCTATGCTCCTTCACGAGAGGTAACAGGCGTAAGTAAAATAAATAGTTATCTTTTTAACGGATTCTTCTAAATGTATGTATGATTTTGTGGGAGGGTTATAAATTGTCATTGGCAAGTTCATTTAAAGTTTGCATTACTTCACTATAAAATTCATTTTTTCCCTTAATTTTCATTTAAAATAGATTTGAAAATTATACAAACTGATGCACTTACACTTGGTCAAGCCCTTGATGAAGTGGCAAAATATGCCTTATCACAAAACTGTATTCAAGGAAATGAACAATATGATGTTTTACGTGCTATTTTGTTTGCTGAACGTTGGCATCCAGAAGTTAAAGGTCATATATCTGATGCGGCTGAATTCGATCAGTATTGGGCAGGTAATTAAACAGCACTCTTTTTGATTTATTTGATTCAGTGTTTTATAAATATCAGATCTGACCAAAGAAGTATTCATATTTAAAAAAGTTTATAATAAAGATTGTAAGCAGCTTTAAAGCATAAAATATTATCGCACAGATTTTTAAAAGTATAATTGCATTTGAGTTTTTTTAAACGATATGATTACAAATAAAAATAAGTTGATAAGTGTTACGTAACAGATTGTTCGTAGTGATGAAACGATGAGGAATATATCTTGGATTATAAAAGAAAAATATATGGTTTATTTTTATATTAAAGTAAGTAGACTTGCACTGTAATATTTTTCTTTAGATAATAAATTACATTTTGCATTGGAATTAGTATTCAAAGGACCAAATTACTTGTAATCTACAGGTTAATGGATAATGTTTTCAGCTGTTTGATTCTTTTTTATCAAAAAGAAGAACAAATATAATATAGATTTTTTCATTAATTCAATTATTGTTAATCGTTTACTCGAGAGATCCGTTGAAACTTAAAATCTTCAACTATTATGGTAGTTAGAATGTGTATTTTAGATTATAAACTAGTGACCATTGTAAAGCTTACAGGAATATGTCCAAAATATGTCATTAATCGATGAATTCATTGACTTTTGACTTGCAAAGAATGAGAGAAAGCGAAGAATTCTTGTTTCAGGTTTGCATAATAATTGTTTACAACTGTTAAAGGGTTTTAAGTAGTCAGATTGTAATTTTTGTCAACGGCGTTAATGAATTTATTCTTTCAAGTTAATTTAACCTTACTTTATATCATGGAATATAACACATTTTAACAATCAACTAAACATAGTGTTACTCATGAGGGACATTTGAGCTTATCAGTAATTAGTAGGGTAATCGATCAATTAATATTACTTTTTAAAGTAGTGGTTAATGGAGTTTATTAATTTTCAGAAACAAAAAAATAACATACATTAACGAAAAGCCCATGCTATAAAGAAACTATTTAAATTTGAAATGTAACAGTGTTATGTCATAGACATAAATTTAGTCTATAGTTTTAGACATATATATGTGATAGGTAGCTTTATTGTTATGATGTGATGACAGATGTAAAGACAAGTACAAACTATAAAAACTCTTGATCTTCTAAAACAAATAAAACTTAAGGATTATGTTGTAAGCAAAGCTTCGCTTTTTGAACATTGATTTCAGTTTACTATTAACTTATATATATATATATATATATATATGAAGTATTAAGAGATTGTTTTCTTTTACGTTTAAGGAACTTTACCGGAAGGTATCAATCCTGTAAGTTACAGTACACAACTAATGTTTCTGTGATGTTTATTTAAAAGTACTTCTAGTGAGTATTTAATAATGGTATCGACATTACTATCATTATAATCATTGTATTGTTAAATGTACTCTGCAAAACTGAACAGTATCATATTTTGTTCACTTTGTTTTAATTCGAATGTGTTATATCTAGATAGATTAGTTTAATCAATCATAAAATTCTGGGAGTACATTTTGCTCGAAATCATAATTAAAGGTTTAATAGCAATTAATGTTTAGTGAATTAAAGGACTTATATATAGAGCTGGTAACACTTTGAGAAATAATAAACTCTGAAAACTGATAACTATTACATTAAGATATGAGAATCGTTAACAATGTGCACTTAAAAATCCACGGAGAGTTGAACCTGACAATCTTATATTTCACATTATCTTTCAGACCATTAACTTGACATCAAATGTGTTTTGATCCGTAGCTTCGTTTATTTATTAATGTAAAACTACCCTAACCAACTATGATAATTTTTTTAATGTTTATAGTTAACTGCTACATTGACTAAATGAAATGTTATAAGTTTCAGAAAATGAAAAGCTTCTTTGACTTCATGGTATTTCCTTAAAAATAGAAATGTAAAACATTTTCTTTTATTTATCACGTACATGACTGTTTTCATAAAACTAGGCTTATGAAAATGACGAAGGAAAATGGACTTTTAAAAACTTTCAAAGTAAATTGGTAAGTAAAAGACAAGTAGACAAGAAAAAAAAACAGGATGACAAAACTATAAAATGTCTATTACTGATAATATACACATTGCTTAAATTAATTACAGCACTAATTCTCTATATTACAAGAACTGCTTTATCCTACACTCCATGTATGTACTTTTTTCATCCATGTCGGCTTATATAAATTCACCTTTTTTTTTCTATAAGTAGCCATAGAATCGTGTTTATTCAAACGCTTGCTTTGTATTTAATTTTGGCAAATGTGATTGAGCAAATGACAAGAAAACCTCGCTTTCTTCACCTTTTGTTTAATAAAACCACCATTATTTTCTATGATTTAAACATGTAATCAAGATTGCTAACAAAATGCTTTCCGCTTCATGTTATTTGTCTAGGTTTCTTTATGCTTAGCTTACTGCTTGATAACTTTTATTGACATATCATTTTTCGATAGTTTGGTCTTATGTTGCTTTTTTCTGAAGGTGTTCAGTTTGAAACGTAACCAACGTACTTCAGATCATTTGTGTCTGGCTAAACGTTTCAAAATTTTATAATTGGTTGTACAAATAAGTGGAAGATAAAATAAATTACAGCAGAAAGTCTAAAGCTTACTGAAACCACCTGATGGTTAGAGTTTTCGGAATTCCTACGAATGCGTTCCTGACAATTTCTTAATAATTATATGGAAGCTATTTTAAAATCTCCATATTTTGTTATTATTGATTAAAAGGTCAGTATGGTTGCACAGGATCTGAATTTGTTAGAATTCAATATTGTGATGGTAAACTCACGAATATGTTGTGAATACTTTCACACAGTCACACTAAAAAATAAGTTTTATGTTTGTGAATGATTTATTTTACTGATTGCTAGTTTTAAACATCATTTATAAGTGACAATGTTTTTTATGACGTTGATACTTTTCTTTATAATAAAATATAAATTAGATTCATTTGGTATTATTTACTTGAATCTTCCCATTGATGTTTAGGACTACATTTGGTCAGTCTCTTATTGGCATATGTGTATACTATGCGTATTGCCTCAATATTATCTTAATTCACAAGGATTATAAGCAAAGATGGATAGTGAACAGCAGTGGAATCCACGACGCACGTTTGGTCATATTTAGAACTCATCAACTCGATGTACGTGCATGCCATAGTTGTTCGAACACAATACGTTCGCCTCAATCGCAGTCCCAAAACATCAATAGGAAGATTTAAGTAAACAATAGCAAGTGAATTTAAACTTTACTTCATTGCACAAGCAAGCCGACTATCAGGACTCAGTAGCTAAATGGATAACGCGATGGCGTTTGAAGTGAATGTCCCACAGTGAACATCAACTCTGAGATGCAGGTACAACCAGTTGAATAGTCCCAAATAAGACGAAACGCACTTTCTGGATACCACTGCTAGCCGTTATCCATCTTTGCTTTAAGTATAAATGGGGTTTTTCAAATTATCTAACCTCAATTTTTAACTTTAGCAAGTAACTGTTATTAACTTTCTTACGTATAAAGTCTTTTATACATTTGTTTTTAATGTTGTTCTTTGTGATTGCAACCACTTATGTATAGATATTATTCTAAATATAGAGATTTTGGGATTGTGTTTATACTGGAATTAAGTGTTATTGTTACACCTTTGGAAAATTGAGTATAGAATCAATTTTTCTCCTTAAATCTTCATTATTTCAAAGTTGGAGTAATATTCTTGAACTATGTAGTTAGATGATCAATTCATTGGGTTGGGCGATTTGAACAATTTTTAATAAAATCAGTTAATTTTGTTTGTTTGTTGATAACTTCTGATGCATGCAGTTATATTTATGAATAAAGAATGTAATTTATTTTAGTTCTTCAGGTAGTTATGCATGTGACTGAACTATAAATAATGAAAATTTACTGTATATTTACAAGCATTAATGCTTGTAAATGAAAATAACTATAATCATGATTTAACAGCTCCGTATATTTTATTAAAGATGTATTGCCCGAATTTTCGGTAGTATCATTAAGATTGTGGGTTTGCAGTAATTTTCAAGTTAACTCTATAGAAATTGGTTTTTTTTCAATATTGTCATTTGCTTTAGTAATAAAATTGTGCTTATAGTTATTTTACACAGAACGGTCTATGTTAAGAGAGAAAACGTTTGCATTATTGATAAATACACCAAACTTTAACCAAAAAATTTCGGGTGTTGAATGATGTTATTACATTATCTAAAGAAGTCAAGAATGAAAATAAGACGTAGAAAGAGATATCAATGGTGATTATTTACTTCAGTATAAAGCAGATCAAGGAAAAAGCAAGAATATGCTTAGAATGACTTCATGATAGAAAGCTAGTGCTAGGATTGTGGATAAATAGCGAATCGGACAAACAATTTCTGAACATCAATACCAGGCTTAGACTGATGAACTCCCATAATCTCTTCTAAAAATATATTTCTCATCCAACTTTATTTTAAACTAGTTCATTTAACTTTATATATTACCACCACTGAATTAACTACTTCTATGAATTCGGTGTTCATCTCGTTGTGCTAATGAAGTATGGTCCTACGTTGTAGCTGACTGATAAAAATTCTGGTGAAAATAAACTACCGAAATCGATTAGTTGTTTTGTAATAGAACTATTCCTCGATTTACATTCATCTATAGATGACTATGTTCTATAACATTCGCGAATACATTTGAAATGATCATAATATATAGGAGCAATATATCTTGACTGAATCGTTTACAACATAAATTTATCCAACATTTCGATATTCTAATTACCTCAAGTATCCTTGTTAACGACCCAACAATTTTCTTTCTTAGTATGAACTATGATACATAAAATAAGGATAAAAAAAAGATTTTTTGCCTTTAGAACGTAACATCAACGAAAACAAAGCTTCCTTTAGTTAATTTTTACTGTACCTCCTACAAATAATGTTAAAATGGTTCGTGGAAAAAATATTCATTTTACAAAGTTTGGATTTCTTGTTTAATGTTATTTCTACATTTTTTTCGTGTACAGGAATCTGCCCGATCATCCATTTCTTCATTAACATTTGAAGTTAAGGTTTGTACAGCTTCTCTTTAAATAGAAAACAATTGAGTAAAGAAAATAGCAAGAATCCAATCTATTGCATAAATCATTCATTTAATTTTTCACAACTAGTTTTACTAGTTCAATTGATCGATGTTCTTTTCTGAAATGATCCAATTGATATTCTTTAGTAGTTTTGCTTATTCAATTCATACTAATTCAGATTCAATCTAAACTCAACCATTATTTTCATAATTATTTTTGTTGTTATTGGAAATTCACCAATTGATTTATACACATTCATTGTTAGTGCACTTAAATAATTTTATTGGTCTGATTTACTTGAGTACTTGAATTCAATTTGACTGCAATTATGTATATCTAAATAATTGTATTAAAGAATAGATAACTGCTTATCGTTTAATACTTTTTTAGGTTCGGTAATCAGATTCATATTAATAAAGCGATCTTTACAGATTCAGTTTATCAACTTAAGTATAGGTTCAGATGTAGCTAAGAAGGGATTCAATTTTCTTTTGTTTTTTTTGTAGAATAACTTTCTCTTTCAAAGTTACAAAATTAAGGAAAAAAATTACAATTTCGCACCTATATGATTTAGATTTCATCTTCATAATCATGATGTCATTGCAATTTTTGACACGCCTTGCGGTTGTAGCTTTGTGTGCTCTCAGTTAAGAAGTTTAGGTTGTTACTCTTGTTTTTGTTTGCAATCATTGGATTCTGGTCTCGAATCCCGAAAAACGTCTTTTAAAATCGGTAGACAGTTAGCATAAGGAAAGTTTTTAAACCTGCACTAAATTAAAACTTTTCATAATCTGTAAAGTTATTGAGTATCACACTGAACCATGTTTGTAGGTTCAGAATACCTGGTTGAAGCCTGAGCAATTTTCACAACCTATGGTTGAACACTTGAATAGACATGATATAGAATAGGTCCTAGTAGTTTATATGAATTTGCTTTAAGTCTTCTGTCAGATCTTCAGTTTTTAAGAATTATATTGAGCATTTTACTCCACATATTCATTCTTTCTCCTTGAATCATATTGCCTGTGCCCAACATTTTCTGCTCCCACTGATGCTGTTGCTACCTCTTCTACTCTGGTATTTGTTTTGGTAACGTTACCACACTGTATTGTGATGGTGTAGGAACTTGGAAACATACATTTACATCCCATGTTTTACTTTATGTATGTCTGACTTACTAGGTAAATGAATTGTCACAGGCAACCATTTGTAGCAAACTACGTTTTCCCGTGATAATGATATTTAATACTACCTTTACTCAGATAAAGAGTCGCATATGCTTGACAAAAATGGCGTATTCTTCCCGGTTTAACAATGCCGCAACGTATCAGTGTTGAGTCGTAATCTTTTAAATTATTTGAGAAAATTCGTTTCCAATATTCATTGTCTGTTACCGTCACTATAACGTTTTGGTTTGTCTTGACATATTTAGGTGTTATTCGCCAATGTGATTCAAAATTACGAAAGAAAAATAAAGACTTGTTTTTTCTGTTGCCAAGACGGTTATTTAGCTTAATGAACACAATAATCGTTTCATTCAATAATATGTGTTTTTGAAAGCTTTATATTCTTTATGTTAATTGATTCAATTAAGAAGGCATTGATTGTCCTTCTAGATGGCGAAGAATAAATTTGACATAGCTGGCGATCACTATCAAACCATATATAAGCATTATTATTTGTATTTGTTTATGTTTTGAACTACCCACAAATTTCTAAGTTATATGTTACTAATTTAAGTATTCTTTCCAAAGTTTTAAACGGATTAACTATTATTGTTTGTTAACAGCTTAAGCCACTATTTTCTAAAATCAATAATGTCCTCATAAATTTGATTGTTACCGGAAACTCACGTGTGCGCCTAAATATTAAACACTTTTTTCTTGCAACATGTTGTACACAACAAAAAAGCATAATGTTTGAAAATATTATATACAATATTTATTCATTTATCATTATTTTAAAATAATCTCACTGCCCCGTGACTTGAAATTCATTATTTCTATATGTTTTTGATTCTTCTTTAATTAATAGTTTCAATGTAAAAAAAAAAATAAATAAAATGATAATGCATTATCACACTTATCAACAGTACATAAAAGGTTCAAGTTCAAACTAACTTGACCAAAATAAAGTTTCACCCTAAAGCTTAAGCAAAATACATGATAAACTTACGAAACAATTTTCATTGTTCTTAATTTTAAGCTTGATATTCATTTGGACAACCCAATTTATTAGTTTTCTTGAACTTGCTTTAGAAATCACATTTTAGCAAAATGTTAAATTTTGATACAATCATCTCCTACATTCTTTGAAACTATACTATGGGCATATTGCTTATTGTTTTTTTCTGCACCATCTTAACTCTACTAATAAGTGCGAGTTCTCTTATCTTCATACATAAACTCACTTACGCCTGTTACTCCTCGTGAAGGAACATAGGCCGCTCACCAGCATTCGCCATCCAACCCTGTCCTGGGCAATAATTTCCAGCTTGTTCCAGTTGTTATTCATCCTTTCCATATCTGCTTTTATTTCCCGTCGTAATGTGTTCTTTGACGTTCCTCTTTTCCGCCTTCCTTCAGGATTCCAAGTTAAGGCTTGTCTCGTGGTGCAGTTTGACGATTTGCGTAGTGTATGTCCTATCCATTTCCATTGTCTTTTCCTAATTTCCTCTTCAGCTGGAAGCTGGTTTGTTCTCTCCCACAGTAGGCTGTTGCTGATGGTATCCGGCCAATGGATGTTGAGTATCTTGCGTAGACAGCTATTTATAAATACTTGTATTTTCTTGACGATGGTTGTAGTAGTTCTCTAAGTTTCAGCTCCATACAGTAGAACTGCCTTGACCTACATATGGTGTGCTCAAATCAATAAATTAAGACTCATGTTGACAAATTAAGTGTTCAACAAAGTGCACCAATCGAAACATAAAATAAGAAAAATTGGTTCAGCGAAAAGTCCTCTTTTCAGCAAATTCACTGAAAACTAAGTACTGTCCTTAGATTCCAGTAATTCTTCTGTAATATTAACCATTTAGTAAAAGAGGACTTTTAGTATTTTATTCCGAAATTTTAACAGATACAAAATAGAAGTTTCCGCATTAAAAATTTATTTACTCAACTTTCTTGCAGAGAACTATTGTGAGGATAGCTTAAGGTACATACCATACTGATTCTGACTTCATGTAGAATAATCTTGTCAACCACACTAATACCAGCCCTCATGAGATACATAGGTACATAAATTTCCTATTATTTTCAAATTTGGAAATAAATCATTAAATCTAGAGATGATTATTAAGCTTTAATCTAGGACATCACACTTCACAAATCAGATCGACAGCTATGACTTTAACTAAGGTGAATTAATATCTTAGCATAGGGAACTTAGAATTATCTGCAAAGTTCACTAATCGCTAAACCTAAACTATGTATCAGACTTTAACTAATGGAATCCTAATATGCGTAGTTGAATTTGTATGACTACCACAGTCACATTACTGTGAATTATTTTAAAATCTGCTTTGTAAATGGTAGGAATTTTTTTTAATATGATTTCAAGTTCATTACTTTTAAGATTTCCTCTTTGGGTTGATCTATATTTCTGCAAATATTCTAGATTGGTCATTATAGTTATATCGAATTTCATATTTGAATAAGAGGTAGGGAAATATAATTGAAAAAAATCAGTAAGTTATCTAATCTCTTCGTGTCACATTATTGATTCTTATTTAATTTTAATATAAGTATTATTTATTTCTATTGTCAACTACTTGATTAACATATTAAGATTATAGGTAAAATGTCTCGTATTGTTTTCATGTTAAGATTAATATAAACGAGGTATCTATTTCAAGTGACTACAAATACACTTATTCGTATAAACAGAAAGTAAACCTTTGTAAAAAATTTATTATCAACTGTCAATGGTTAATATAACCCGAATGAACTTATTCTCTTTGTTACTCATGTGTTGTAATTAAACAGTACACTTCTTTTTGCACAATCTAGAAACCAGCTTTTTTACAAAGAGCATCTGTGGCAACGATTGGAGCTAAGGTGGGTTATAGTTTCATTTTATTGACAAATATATTCTAAGTTGAGGTGAAAGCATGTGTTGCTTTTATTTTTCGATTTATTTTTTTATTTTTTTCAAACATGACCGTTTCTATGATATCCTTTATGTATCGTTTTACAACTATCTTGAAGTATATTGAGGCACTTTATTCAATCAATGTTCTCAAAATCAAAACATCATCCCGGTATATCAGTGTAATATTTGTAGTAGGAACTAATTAACTAGTCATTGCCATTAGGAATAATCTCTAAAAGGTTAAATTAGTTAGCATATCTTGATGTAAAAGTAGGTTACGTTGTTTCTAAGGTCAAATTTCAATTATTTTTAACATCCAGTTTTCTACTGGCTATTGCTTCTACATTATTCGTTTAGAGGAGATAGTTTCTTGAAAACATCTTTCAATTTTCACCTATAAATGGAGCCCAATTATAATATTATAATATTTCAGATAAATCAGGCCAATATATTCGTATGTTAGTGATTCTCGTGTTATCAACTGCCAATACGCTTTCTTTTCTATCAGTGAGATCTTTCAAGAAATTAATCCTGAAAATATTATCGACTAGTCAAAGGTTATAGCATAAACTCAGACATTTTTTTCTCATAGTTCATAGAGTTACAAGTTAAAGAACTTCAGTAGTAATGAAAAAGCAGTACTACTTATTACTGTTATTATCATGATGAACGAAACTAAATAATTAGAACAAAAAGTGACGAAACTAAATAATACCAATATTGCTTATAAATCTCGTTAATTATTTAAACATCATTTGGAATGTTAATCTTAATGCCGTTTGTAAACTCTTATATTCACTTTGAACTATTAATAAATACGCGTACTGTTTCACCACAGTTGTATTACATGTTTAAGGACTTTTTGCTTTCTATCTAGGATACCAATATCATCATAATAGGCAAATATCAGGTTAATATTAACTAAAATCTTGAAAAATAAAATAAACACACCCTTCAGTCCTATAGAAAACAAAATACACTCAATTATTATACAAGATTAAATATAAAGCTAAATCTATTTTCCATTATCTTAATTCTATGTTATCTTCAAAATAAATAATCAACTACTAATAACTTATTTTCATTGATTTCTTCTTATAATCATCAAATAACCTTCTTTATTCTATAGAAGCATATTTCTATGACAAGAGCATCTGTTTCAACGAATGATTTTAAACCAAAGGTGGGTATTTAGTGTATTATATACAAGTCTACTGCTAACAATTGCTAAAAATATAGGACATTTGTTTTTTTGAAGAAAAAATATGTATTTCTATGCAATTTGGTTTAACTATTTATAATGATACTACTAATTAGTGATTACTTGATCATGTTTTAGTTTTAATATCCATTTTTATGTGTTAGTAAAATGATGATTAATGCTTCCGTATAATGTAGTTAAATAAATGCTAAATGACAATTTTTTTTGTTGTTGATTAAAACAACTTGTCAAATTTATGTATCAAGAACATATTTATCATAAAATAATAAATAACGAATTATAAAATACAAGAAAACGCAAGTTTACAAGTGTGCACGAGAGCGTACCCTCTGATGAATATACTATAAATTTTTGAAGTTCTACAGAGAAGTTAAGTAGCGCCTGGTGCGAGACTGATAGGTCCTGGGTTCGAAACTCGCGGGGACGGGATCGTAGATGTGCACTGTTGAGGAGTCCCATACTACGACGAAACGCCCGTCCAGTGCTTCTAGGTTTTTCATGGTGGTCTAGCTTCAATCGACTCATGATTTCAACCATTGAAATTTCTAAAAATCTCCACAAAACCCATTCTGATAATAAATAACATTAATTTTATCTATGCTGTAATTTAGACGATTACTTGTTGATGATTATATCAATATATAAGATAGAGGAGCCTTATAGTTCAACTTACTAGATTATAGGGAATGGGTTCATCACAAAACCTCATGAACATGTATTCAGTACTGTATGAATATTATATGATGAAAAATTGTGAGTATTAAATGTCTCTTTAGTGCTCTGCAATATTGTAATTGTCCTTTAGTAGATATCGACTTGTGACTAGACTTAACTTCAAAATGTACCAATATTGATACACCATGCAATAAAGAAAACTAGACATGTATTTCTTTTGGACTGATCATCTTGTAAATGATACAAGAGTAAATATATTGATAAATTGATTTTATTCAGTATACTTGAATTTATCTGCTTTTTATGAAAGTTGACGTTATGCTGTCTTTTGGCTTAAATAACAATTTATGTATATTTTAGACAGAACAATAAATATGAACAACATGTTATCAGAGAAACATAGTGTATATCAAACGGCATATCTGTTACTCTATTAAATATATTAATTAAGATATATAGCAATGATTATTTAAATGTATAGATAATTAGTTAGAGATAACTGAATTCAAAATAACTACTTTCAGTTATGTTTTATTAAATTCAGTGTAACAAATTTTGTCCTGTATTATAAAAAAAATGGTCTTCCTTAGTAACTATTACATTCCATTCGTTTTTAATGGTAGGCAGTTTTAATAGTGTTTTATACTACTGAACCTATTTTTGTATTGGTTTGTTATACAATACATTTTCGATGCATAGTTGCTTGATTGACAACCATATGCTTGCTAGTCATTAAAATTGTATAAGAATTAATAAAACACTCTAGATCTATCGATTTATAATTTCAAAAAATAATTTAATCACTGCTATGTGCTAAATGATAGATATTTGTATCTGTTCAGTGCTTCTAGACAACAGTGAGTTACTCTGGACTAGGATTCCCCAATAGTTGATATTAGTGAACGGAATTGCATATATGCCACGCAGACAAGTATCACATCCCACGTAGATCTAGATACATTGTTTTCTCATTAGCATAAGCTAAGGTGCGTCGTCATGTCAATTCATTAGGACTGGTGCGCGCGCTAAAAATTTACAACACGATGTACTTAAATTCACAAAAATCAGTGAATCAATATTTGTTAACTATTATGTCGTAATAAATTTTGTAAGTTAGTCTAGTTTGAAGATGATGATGATAATAACAACATTTATTTCATTTGCACTTTATTTTATTATAACTGTATCTTAATAAGTCAAGGATTTAATTTATTTTATACAGTTTTTTACCCATTTCTAAATTTGACTTAAACAAGAGCAATTAACGTAAGAGAGTAGTATGAATTCATTACACTTTGCGGTTTCTCATCAGTTGCTCACATTCTAAGCATGATAGTATTATTCAGTAAAAATTCATCTTGTATAATTTATATTAATATATCGTAAAAGTCCTAATCACTGAAAGTTTACAAAAAGAGCTATTTGTGGGTAAGAATTGTAAGAGATATTGCTATATTCTATGAATATTTATATGTTGAATACCACAATACTTTAGAATCAAAAACAAAGAACATATAAACAGGATTATTTAACAATAGAATATCAATGCTAAAACTGTTTAAATCTTAACATGAAATCAGTCAGCTGTGAAAAGACCAGATAAGAAATGTCTGTTATAAATTATTGTCACAAAAAGAGGAATTTATGAATGCCTTCACCACAGGAAATCAAAACTGATAGCTGAATCATTTAGGATGCACAAATTTGGTTTATACATTTGTATGGCAATCGCTTCAGAGAAATGTAGTAAATTCGACGATCTCTGTTTACTAATTATCTTGAGAGATTTTGAGATATCAACATTATAGCCACTGTAAAACAGATGGCTTATGATATCACTACTGAAAATGTATTGAACTGTTAGTCTAATCTTCTGCGTTGTGTGGTCACAGATGTGAACACTAATCCCACTTTATGTTTTTTCAATATATGTGCTTTGCACGTACATGTTAACTGATAGGTACGACTGGATGTAACATAAGGTGCAAATTAATCTACATATGATTGTCTTAATGAGAAATTCATTTAATACAGAGTGATCAACTTGAAAAATGAATGCATTCATTTTATTACGGTCTTTGATCTGAAATAAATCATTCCATCTATTTCATTGCCCTTGAATTCAAGTTTTAGAAAAACAGCGTTCTTCACAACCATAGCATACTTCATTTCTTTTGCTTTAGTCTTCCCATGCTTAGTTATAAATTTTTGAGACTAACGATCATTATACAAATATCTTTCAGCTACGGTTAATTGCCTATCAATTTTTCATTCTGAAAATAATATTCTGACACAATTGAAAGACATTCTAGCTAAGGGTCAGTTGTAGCTTATCCGACAGGAGCTATTAAAGTTTAAAAATGATTCAATCCATTTATCCTTTTGATAAATATATCTCTCCAACCAATCATTTTTCTAATATGAGCTCCAAAGTCATATATATAAAGCTTTAATTAAAACTCACACAACAATGTATTTTTTCACTTTAACTGTCCATCATTCTGTGGTGCAGTTATTTTTAGAGATTTGTTTTATTTAATATATATATATATATATATATATATATATATATATATATATATATATATAATATAATATATATACAATATACGCACACAAATGAAAATTGGCAAAGTTGATCAAATATTTTACTTTTCAACTAATTATTACATGAAAGTGAAATCGATGTTTGTCTTCATTCACAGTATTTATAAAGGGATATATTCTATAACTAACTTTTTGTAATAATGCTTAGATAATTACTACCATTTTTTGTGTGTAAAATTGTTGTCACGGTACCAGAAACACAAAACCAATTTTTCTATCTAATTTAATATAACATTAAATTACGTTCTTACTCATTTGAAGTTTTTAAGCCTGTGTACAAATTTTATATCACTTACAGTTCCCACTTATTGATTTTCCTTTTTATGCATGCACAATTATCCTTTATTAAAATCTCATTCTCCTTTCATATCTATAACATTTATCTTCTGTGAATGTTTTCATTGCTAGCCATTTAATTTCAATGTCTGGGTAATGGTATTTGTTCAAATAAACTGCAAACATAAACTTTTTATAATCAAATTGTATCAGTTTTTTGAGTATTTGCACATTAAGGTTTAATATGGTGTATGTTTTATCGCACATGCAGAAAATCCAGAATTAGATAATCACTTGTTATTTCATGGTGTAATTCATTCTTCAGCTGAGATCGTTATGAATATAGATTCTGTTTTAAGAATTATTTGTGCAAATTCAACAGTTTTCATTTCACTAATTTTTTTCAGGAGCAGTGTTCAGTTAAAAGGTCATGTGTATCATATAATGATCTTGGTTATAAGGTTGGTATCATGTTTTTTTTTCTTTTTTGACAAGTCGGAACCTAACGAAGACATATAATTTTGCAATATTAACAGATAACTACCTAATCAAGCTACCGATCTAATGTCAATAATACATATTTGTATGTTTTACTCAATGCTTTGATTTAACTGAGCGATCTATGTTGTTAATAATGGAATAACTGATTTTAAATGATGATTTGTGATTAGTTTCTTGAGTCATTGTATTCGTAATATGTGTATAATGACTTATTATTATAATTTTAGACGTACTATACGATTCCTATCAACTTTGAATTCAATTACTTTTTTTAACAGTACAAACGGTATATATATTGCTAGAAAGTTATAATTTCTTAGTAATATGTTTCAATTGATTAATTCATAAACTTTTTATCTTAGTTCTATTTACTCATTTACACCAGCTTTCTCTAGGTAGTAGAGAACAAGGAGCAAGTTCACTTTCAAAAGCACTTAGTATTCACAATGAATGTCAACATCCTTATCATCGATATAATCAACCTTTAACTAATTGCTTATCCTCTGGTTCTGAAGCATGTACTGTTATTTGCGGTTTAATCGAATTTGTAAAATCACCAATTCTTGTACTGTTAAGATTAAACAAAACTATTCAACGTTCATGTATTTCGGAAGTGGATATTCCAGTACGTTTTATATTTATTTATGTTGGACCACAAATTGATGAATTAAATTATGCTGAATTGGCTCGTATATTTGCAGTAATGATGACTAATGATGTAAGTCAATATTCCGATTACTTGTTTTTGAATGTGGTTTCTCTTTTGCTAATACAGATGATAATACAAATGATGAAAATGGGTTTTTCAATCATTCGGTTAAATGTTCCACTTCACTTCTGTTGACTCAGACCAAACATCTAAGCTAAAAGCTGAATACATTATGTTTGAGTTTTACTCTAGTCAGTGTATGTACATAAAATTGTTGTTTGACTTTATTTGGAAAACACTTTTTCAGACTATAACAATGTGTTAGTGAAACTTTAAGTCAATTTATAGATAAACATATGTTTCTTCTTAACACTACATGTGAAGCATTCACATAAGCTTAACAACTAACTTAGCTATGTAATTTCTTACGCATGATGGAATATAAGTAAAGTGATCAGCTGATTTATTAAAAAATATGACATCATTTGATGTATAGGAATCAAATTTAGAAGTTTTTTTTTCTCTTAAATGCAGGATTTGAGTGGGTTGATTAATAACAATAGAGAAAAGTTGGATCTCATTTTTATAATTCATGTTTATCAACTGAAAACTTCTGAGTGATTTTTTCCGACACGTGTACACAACATTCATCAATTTCAGCAATGTACATCTAATGTATTATGTAATTTTCAAGAATTTTATACAAAAAATATTTCTACAATAAGGAGAATTGAGCTGCAATGTAATACAAGACCGTCGTTATACAATTCTTTGTAGTTTATCCTAGATCAACATTCTCTTCAGTTATGTTTTCAAATCTTACAAGAAGCATAATACTGTTAGTGATCTTTGTCTTCAATGATTCTCCTAATGATAACGATTCACGAAATTTGGTTGTTATATTGTATTGTCGTAAATTCGTGATTTAAAAACTCCACTTGTCATCTCAGTTATTGATAACAAAAGAATTTATTATTTATAATAAATTTTCATTAGAATAGTTTTGGATTGTATTATAAGTTACCTAAAATAAAGCATTATGCTGTTATAAATTATCTGGAAACAAAATTATGTCTATCTCACTTTTATGGTGATTTGTATGATAACACTGACTATGCTATTTATATTTATATTTATTATTATCAGAATAGGTTTTGTGGAGAATTTAAGAAATTTCACAGGTTTTTTAAATCATGAGTCAGTTGAAGCTAGACCACCATTGAAAACCTGGAAGCACTGGACGGCCGTTTCGTCCTGGTATGGGACTCCTCAGCAATGCGCATCCACGATCCCGCACCACGCGGAGTTCGAACCCAGGACCTACTGGCTTCGCGCGCGAGCACTTAACCATTAGACCACTGAGCCGGCATCCAACGGTGTTAATGTCTAACTTCCAGGTTTTCAATGGTGGTCTAGCTTCAACTGATTCATGATTTAAAAAACCTGTGAAATTTATATTTATATAAACTTAGCATTAAAAGGTTATTAACAATAAAATCATTTTGATGTATAATCATAACAGAATGTGTTAACAAGTGTAATTATATGAACTATTCCCATAAAGTATATAATTTATATAGCCGAAAATGTGCTTCTGATTACATTTACATAAATATTTATTGCATAACAAAATGACATTTATTTGAATCATTTTATTATTCACTGAAAAAACAGATTACTGTGTATCTCACTAATAGGTATCTTCATGTCATTGTATTTTTAGCACTGGAAGAGACATATATTTTTTGTTATAATTTTAGTTCTCTCAACGATTTTCAATCTGTATCCTTTAGCGCTTTATTTCTTTAACTTAAAATGAACGATAAGTTATCATATGGGCTGTGTTTACCAATTAAGTCTAACCTTAAATACTAATCAATAATAACATGTTACGATATTTTCTATCTGTTGAAATTGACGTTTCTGTTAAAGAACAGTTCGTTGTTCAGTGATTTGTTTAACAACGAAACTTAAATTGGACAATTTCATTTCTTGTTAGGAAGTTTTCTAGAAAACATTTCTATTTATCCTTCATTCTAAGCTTAATTTGCAGTAATTTAATTAAGTAATACGAGAATAGTGAGCACACATACGTCTATAAAAAACACTCTATCATAGCACTTACATCTAGGATCATATATCAATTTTAGAAATTAATATCAAGGTAATATCGAGGCATACGCACAGTATGCACATATGCAAATAACATACTGATCAATTGCAGTCTTAAACCTCAATGGCAAGATACAAGCCAAACAATACCAAGTGAATTAATATCAAGACGCTTCAAATGCTTTTCATTATTTTTTAAAGTTGTCTGGTTTTTCAGAAACAGGTAGATTTTAGTGATGCCTTTTGAATTAAATAAGTCAACCTTTAGGTTTTGGCTGTTTTTTTCGGAACTGGCTATGAAAACGTCGTGTTCGAAATATTGTGCTCAGCAAACGTAACTTCACCGAAATACACCTTTTAAACTAGAAATGCTATTCATAATTTTGAAATATACTTCAGCATGGTATTTGATACAATATTTTTCAAGAATGCTTTATATTTTCAACAGGACTAATATTTTACTATACTTGAGGGACCTAGGTGAAATAAACTTTATGACGTAGTTGATGTTCACACTGACACTCAAACTTAGTACCTTTCACTTCAAACTCCAACTAATCTGTGAAACAGGTACAAAGTAAATTATAAGGGTTTTTTATTTCTAGTTGGTGATTTTCAGGACTACGTCCGAGTAACTTCTCTAAATATACTATGAACTTCTAAGTATAAGGCTCAGTATATATATCAACAGACTGTACAATAAGACGAAAACTACAAAAGACTGACGGTAGTTTTCAAACGTTTTGTGATGCAACATGCTTCAAGCTAAACAAATTAGTTTATAGCAGTTGAAAGTACTAGTCGATCTAAGCTAGACCACCACTAAAAACCTGGAAATACTGTTTATTTTTTCCACTCATTTTCCACTCCTTTAAATTCATATTCTGTTTGTTTTAAATTTACTTTTAATACAGACATTTCGGTTATGCGTTTACGACTCAATTTCAGTTGATGATATTATAAAAGGAATTGATAATTTTATGCAAGATTCATTTGTTATGCCACTTTCACGTCATTATAATGCTAATGCTCTAGCTGGAATGACACGTCAAATTGAAGCATATAGAAAAGAAACAGTTTGTGAAAGAGATGGTGATCGACGACCAAAAGGTATGAATAATCTATAAATTATTTTATAATATTTTCACACTATTCATGAACTTAAATAATCGTTAATGTTGTCTAAATAACTGATGTATAATTCATCATTATGAAGATTTATAAGATGAATCAACATTAATTATACTGTTCTTTTATTTGAGTAAACTTAATTAGCTTACGTGTTTATTTAATGTATTTGTAATAATAATTAACTTGTATGATCATTTTTTTATTTAATAGAAAGTTAATTTAAATCACAAACTGACTTAAGCTACATAACTATTAACAATCAAGAAACATTGAGCAGTTGTTTAACATGTGTTTTGAATTCATCATCAGGGTTGACCCACAGGTTTGTTTGATCTCTTGGTGAAATCTGTGCTCAGTGATCTAAAAGTAGTGTTCTTTCCTTGAAAACTGATGGTTTTATATTTGATCCCTGGCAGTGTTACAAGTACGTACTGATGTGGAGTCAAAAACTAGGACGAACTATCTGTTCAATGATGCATAATCTTCAATAGTCGTCTAGCTAAAGTCATTGTGGTATGTAAACAAACTTAGTCAGTTTTTATTAGCCATTAGCTGAAGGTTTTCTTAGGCATTAGGACAAGCAGAATACTACATATATATGGAGAAATACAGACAAAGATATTGGTCAAAATAAACCGATTTTCTCTGATGGTTTACTCTCTGTGAGCTAAGTGGTAGAAATTCTAAATTCCAATTAGATTGATAATCGTCAAACCTTTTTGGTGGAGTTTTATTCTCTGAGCTGGATGGTTTGCTCAGAGAACAAAACTCCACCAAAATCATCCACTTGAGCTACAAATCTTCTCCACCATCTCAAAATCGTCAAACCTGTTGATAATTGTTTTCAGGGTGTATTTAGACTCCAAGAGATATAAACGTTTTCTTACTATGTTCATTCAGAAAAATGAAATTCTGATGTCGCACCGATGAGATAAATTTTGTCGTCTACTCAACTTGAATAAAATGTAGTCTTATGAGATGTAAAATCTACTGACTGCTTTAGAATAACCGTATTGGAAATATTCATTGAAATCTTTTTGTAGACAGTCAGTTGAAAAGAAACGAATCCATATTCTGAATATTATTTACTGACTTTATTGTGATTATCACTGACAGTTCTTAAGAAACTCATAAATTCTATACTTTTAAAGCTAAAAATTATGATCAAAAACTACAATGGAAAATATCAACAATCATTGGCAGTGATTTCAAAGTGATTATGAGTCTTTCTGAAATAAAAAACAAAAGAAAAGTGGGAAATCAAAGATATAATTTATCATGATAGTTATAGCTAATTTGAATTTCTTTGAATTTTATTAAATAAATTTCATTTTCAAAGTCACTCAAATGTAAAATCCGGATGAAATTAGGGATAAAATTTTTAAAAAAAAAGGGATTTTCCATTTGTGCAGTAAATGTCTATATCAACAACAAAAAAATGTTTCGAGTGTGAATGAATAATTTTGGAAAATTGTCGTCAAAGAATTGAACAACAGACAAAACTTAGTTTTAATTTCAATTCAAACTTTCAGATAAGAATAATATGTCCATAATTACACATCCTCTACTTTAATATATATTATTCTTACTATGGTGCAAGTAGAATACGAACAAATTTAGATAGACTACATTAAAAAATGTTCATGAAGTTATTACTTTTTGATTTGGACGTTCTATATAGATTGATCACTAAATTAATCATAATAGCTAGTTGAGTAACTTAACCTTTTTATAGATCTCCTTATTCTGAAGATTATATCATTGAGTTTTTTTCTTGTACTTCAGTTTCATTTGTTTTCTTATGATTTTTCACTTTTTAAGTTTAATATCTCTTTGTTTTTATTAACTTTGTTTTCTTTATTTGTTACCACTCATTTTTGCTTACTGTGCTGTAACTTGTCGCCAAATAGATCGATAAATACTATGCGAGTTACAATAAAAATTAACGTTTGATGCATACTGGAATGTTGTTTATATTGTTTATTCTGAACAGTATTACTCCTTGTTATTTGATTAGTATATTTTTCTACTCAAATGCTTACTATTGTTATATCAATGTTATAATGTATCAAAGCATAAAAAGTTGTTCATACAGCAAAAATTGCTGTTAATTTTTCAATTATGTAATAGTTTTACATTATCTTTATATATATTAAATGAGATCAGTAAATCTGAAGGGAAGAAAAATAATATATTTATGTCATGGATTATTTTCAGCCAATTACAGTCTCAGAACGATAAATATTGTTTTGAAAATACAGATATACATACTTTGTGTCATGCTGACAGAAAAGTATTCGTGAGGATTGAAAACTGTATTAAGATTAGTGAGTATTAAAGTAACAAATATAGAAGAATTCAAAGGTTCTTCGAATCTTCATATTGTTAATGTCAAAGTCTGCAGTTGTTTATTTTTTTCTTGCCATACATATATTCTGTTTAAATTGCCTTGATAATAGCATTGGTTTGCAAGCATTCTAAGCAGAGTTCAATAGTGGCTAGCAATAGAATACCCGTTGTATAAATTAGCGACTAACTGAACTTAGTAGCTAATTGAATAATGCCTTGAGCGTTTGGAACAGAAGATCTTAGGTCTCATTTCCGATTCAAACATCAGAACTGAGGTGCCAGTACATTCAATTGACGAGTTTTAATAGGAAGAAATAAGCGTCCTGTATTCTATCAATAGTCACTATACAACTCTGTCCAAATTGTTTATTTCAGTAATTATGCACAGAATAACTGTCTAACAAGTTTAAAAGAGAAAATTCATAGATGAACAATGACAGGTTTATAGTCAAGGAAAATTAATCTCATGAGGTATATGGCATCAACCACAAAAGAGAATAATTAATAAGATTGAGTGAAACAAGCTCAGAGAAAAAAGAGAGGAAAAATCTTATGAATGACAGAAAAGAATACAATATTATAAATTTAATTAATGACCTTAATCTTGTTGCCTGTTAAATATAATTTTCTTTCTTCCTTTATATTCTTTTCCTCTTATTTACTGACTTTTTAATCTTTATTCACTTAAGCTCGCTGAGCAGTTTTTTTTGTACTAAATATTGTTCTATGCGTGACATTAATTGTCCATATCAGAGACCTATTGTATTGACATCCTTCTGAGTTTTTGTTTCTAGAATATTACACCTAGATTTAACAAATGAACGATAGGAAATATTAAAATTTCTTCAGATTAGTTCATATTTTGAGCTTTATTACAGATCTATTTCTTTTATATCTCCAACGTTGATCAAAATATAACTGTAAACATAATCTAAAATCTTTAAATTTATCTTTAACAAACGATACTACTATATTTAGTTTGTAACGAGCTAAAGAGAATCTGAAAGTCAAATAAATGTCATGCAGTGAAATTTTATGATTTACTATGTGAATTTCTGATTGTTCACGTTTAAAAAAAAAGAATGTTTAATTGATAGATGCTATCCAATTATATAATATAAATAAGAAATAGAAACTCATGGAATCTAATTATTGACTTGAGATACTACTTCTTATTCAATTGAAAATTAGAAAACTATCAAATAGGCTATTTTCTGCTGGCACACAACATATCAAACAAGAAAATAAATATAATTAGAATTTGTTAATAAATAAACGATTGGAAAATTTGGCAATTATAAACCGTTCATACTTCAATGCAATTAATACTTGACTATCAGGCTTAATTCTAACCCAATCTTATCAGTGAATTAGTATTCGTCGCTTGCAATTGATTGTTTTGCTATCGTGATATTTATAAAGCAATGAGAGTAGAAATTGATGGATCCTAAAAAACAGTATCTGACTAATTATTATGTATAATCGGATCATATGAAGTGGGTTTTTATTAAATTTTATATTAAAAACTTACATTTTATATGAACACAATGGAATAAATAAACTTATCAATTGAAAAAATTCCCTTTTCTTTCCTAGCTCTTGTATTTTTTTTCTCCCTTTTATTACATCCATTTGTTTTTAGATAAACGAAGAATGTGATAATGATTAACTAATTTATTATCATATTATTTGGATATTTCATATTTATTTACCTCGTTTATATTTTCCATACACTTCTATGCATCCTATCTATCTATATTGACTATATTCATTGTTCATTATCTCTATTTGATAATCTACATTTCACCTCTGTGTAAACATTTACTCGATTGTACCCTCATATTTCCCTATATATATCCTTTCGATTTTCAAATTTCTTTTGAAATTTAGAAAATATATTTGGAAAAAAAAATACAATAAATTTATATGTACAATTATCAATACTGGTTTATTTGTTTGTTTGTTTGTTTTTGTCTTGATTACATGAAATAAATTTCTTGTTATAATCAACAATGGATTTTTCATGTTTCGAAATAATTTATGGGAGATATTCAGAAACATAAGAATAAATGTTATAAATTTATGTAAAATTTTCTCATTTCCCCCTCCCCCCCCCAAAAAAAAAGTATATTCTCGTTAAGTAAAACTGATTGATTATTGATAAAAGTGATATTAAGATAAATTAGATGGAGTTCAGTCAGACAGGTATCATTGATGATATTTCATCACAATGAAAGTTAATTATTGATTGAAAGTTGGAAATATGAAAAAAAGTTTGATTTGGAAACCAGCAGTTTAGATGTTATGTTATGTTATGCAAAACTCCTGGTTTCCGGAATTGTCAGAGCTATAGGTGAATTAAAATTGGATAAAATATTTACCAGGTCCTATATGATGAGACTCAATGTTTCAACAACTGGTGCTAATCTAATGGCATATGATTTTGTGTTCAGTTAGAATTTCTATTTATATAGCTATTATCGCATAAGTAGATAGAATAAAATATTATTATACCGTTAAGTAATGAAATATTGATGTAAATAGTCAAGTAGTATTCCAAGTGAAATATTCATTTCTTCTTTAAACTGATTTACTTTTGTTAAAACCCATCAACAAAATATATATCACTCAAATTAATGATTATTAGTCAGCTACCATTATAAACATAATGGCAACTAATTTTTCTCAAAATAAATAAAATAACCTTTTTATTCTTATCGAATTAATCAATAATATTAAAAAAAATTTAATTTCCAGCATGAAACCTAACTTTCTTGTACACAGGTTCATTTACAGTGAGAAAGTTGACTGAACAATCACAAAACAATTTAGTCAATGGTTCATATGTTCCATCTTCATTGAATTTGAAACAACAAGCTGATAATATCATTAAACAAGATAGTGATAAATTACCTGTTCCAACAAATGAAACTGATACACCTAAAATATCTAAACGAAAAATATTTTTACGGGATTTTTGTCCACCATTTATTGAATTATCACGTGGAATTCGACCATGGATAAAACGAATGCCAGGTGATTATAAAGATGCAGTAAAAAAAGAAAATTTAAGTATTGTTTTTGGCAGTGTTCTATTTATCTACTTTGTCAATCTTTCACCGTCTATTACATTTGCTGCATTATTAAGTAAGTTTGACTATTGAATAATCGTAACTCTATTTCGTTTTTATTTATTTCATAAATAAACTTTCTTGTATCTATTACATGTTTAAATGAATAAGTTATTTATAAGTTTAAATAATGCGGCAATTAATGTAAACAGGCTGAAAAAAATCCTCATAGGAACATTTATTAAAAGCCTAGAAATCATAAGATTGTGCAATTACCAAAGGTAAGAGAAAATAAGTAAATAAATAAAATACCCGATCTATATCATGTGATGTAATATGGTAATACAGTTTGTTCCTTCGATAATTTTCACCCCTAGTAAAGGCTTATGTTTTAATTGACACCTCAACGTTGACAAGGGTTTGGAGTAATTTTACTGTCTAAATAAAAGGGAAGATGAATGATCCTGTATAAATTGTTTGTTATTAAGGCTGTTGTATCTTATTCACCAAACACTGAAAGCATTTAAAAATCTCAAAGACTAAACAATATAAATGTATATACGACATTGTTTTGACTCCGTTTTACACTTGAAAGTGAACTATTCAAGTTTATTTGTTACATAGTTTTTGAGTTTATTAAACGCATTTCCGAGAAATACAGAACATCAGATGTTATTATATTGATAACATTTAAATAATGGTTCCTTTTTTTCACAGTGCTACAGTGTAAATATAGCAAATATAAATATATGCTATTACAATTTCTAATATACTTCAATGATAATACTATCAACTTCAGTGATGTAGGACTGCCATATATATCTAAATGTTAGTAAAAGATTAATAATACTAATTATAACGTGTATATGCATATGTTTCTGTGTTTTCAATGATTATTTCCCGAATTTTACTAATAGAGTTAAACTACGAAAAAAGACTAAGAATTGAAAACGTGATGTTAGGTGACAACTGAGTGTACTTCAACTTAAGCACTTGAAAAAAAATATCTCTGCAATTTTAATGACGAAATGCTGTACACTTTATTTTCATAAAATTAACTATTCTCAGTATTTCACAGGTTGAAATCATGAGTCAGTTGAAGCTAGACCACCATTGAAAACCTGGAAGCACTGGACGGCCGTTTCGTCCTGGTATGGGGCTCCTCAGCAGTGCGCATCCACGATCCCGCACCACGCGGGGCTCGAACACAGGATCTACTGCTGAGGAGTCCAATACCAGGACGAAACGGCCGTCCAGTGCTTCCAGGTTTTCAATGGTGGTCTAGCTTCAACTGACTCATGATTTCAACTTGTGAAATTTCTTAAACTCTGCACAAAACCCATTCTCTGATAATAATCAACTGCTCACTAGTGACTGACTTCAGGAAAAACTCCTGGAGTTCTAGTGAGAAGCCGTTACCAGTGGAGTTCAAACGGTCTGTTGTGAGATAACAACTCACTGAAGACAATGGTGTACGGTGGCGCAACTTCGTGGATTGGTTGAAGTTAGACATTAACACCGTTGGATGCCGGCTCAGTGGTCTAGTGGTTGAGTGATCGCGCGCGAAGCCATTAGGTCCTGGGTTCGAGCCCCGCGTGATGCGGGACCGTGGATGCGCACTGCTGAGGAGTCCCATACCAGGGCGAAACGGCCGTCCAGTGCTTGCAGGTTTTCAATGGTGGTCTAGCTTCAACTGACTCATGATTTCAATCTGTGAAATTTCTTAAACTCTCCACAAAACCCATTCTCTGATATTCTCAGTATTGTTAGTTGCTTTTAGTGTCAAACCAATGACTAACTTTTCAAAATTTTACTAAATATATGGTTAGTTCATATTGTACTACTTTAAGAGCGAATACTCATTTCAATGATTTTATGGTTTGTTGCTTTAAAAAGAATTTTCTTGTAAATGTTATAAACTCAAAGTGTTATGATATTGATTTATTGTTCATAATCAAAGAGTTGTTATCACTTGAGACCACCTTACAATAAAAAAAAACAAAGTTCCCTTATATTTGATCTTAGTAAAAGCTTAAGGAAAGTTGCAATAGTCTAAAGTTAGAATATTTCATATTGTCTTATTCTTTGAGTTATCTTTTGATGATAAGATTCTCTTATTTATATACTTAGCATAAGTTTGGCTAGCAGTAATTACACGCACTTTGTAAGGCGTTTATCTAGGTTTTCAGATATCAGGGTTTACGTAAAACCTTAGTCGCTGTTTAAGAAACCATCTGTCAGTTTAACATCAAAAAGAAATTTCGCTAGTTGTAATTACTTTATAGTCTGAAAACGCAACTAGTTTGAAATAAAATTCTCAGGAAACTGGTGGCGCATCAAGAATACGTTATATTCTGTTGTTCTACTTGAAGGAAGGAATTCAATAAATCTTCACTTCTTTGAAATCCACTTTGAGTATTATGAAATGAACAATATTAAAAGGCTTGAATAGCCAAGTAGTAGACTGTGTGACATAGTTACTAGACGGCATTGTTACGAATATCTTGATTATGCAGATGTTCCCATAATATTACAGATACGCTCTCCTTGTAGATGCTAACCCGCTTGAGAAGTAAGTTTGATACTTACCGTCGACAGTTTATAACTATCTAATATGTTCGATGACAAAAGTCCACAAATATCAGCTTCGGTTCTGCCTTAGTTTTGTAACCGAAATATTGGTTCACTTTTCTTTAAAAATATCCACTTATATTTTATGTTGCAAGTTATTTTAATTTTTAATAGAATCAATTTCATATGATTTCATTCAATTTGTTACATTAAATTTGCTAACCGTTAACAAAAAAACAAACCAAAAACAAACCTCTCACTTAGCTATATAAAATATGAAATAAGGCAAGAGGATATTTACTTAAACCTCATGTCTTACTATCATTTAATAGTTAAAGTGATAAACAAATGCTTAAAACATCTGCTTTGTTGAAAGATATCACTTTTCTTATTCTGCATCACTAGGTTTGGTATTTCTTACAACTAGATAGAGCAATCTGCTTTTAATTAACACCTTGTATTTGTTTCATTATCAAAATTTAGGTTTATTATAAAAATAATTTACCTACGGAAGATTTCAATGTATGGGTTAATTAAGTTAGTTTGAATTGTTTCAAATGAAAAAATAAAATACTATACTATAATGTAGATATTTCGACCATTGTATCTCGTCCTTCCCTTCAGATGTTTACGTCTTCGTGATCCAGTCGATCACCGGCAGAAAGAGAAAGGGTGAGAGTAAGCAACCTTGCCTAACACTGGTATTCACTTCGAACGACTTTGTCAACTGTCCTCCATGCACGATTTTGCAGTGTAATCCATCATATGAATTCTGTATGATATTGACTATCTTCTGAGGCACGCCGTAGTATCGAAGAAGCTTCCATAGTGTTGTCCTGTCCACGCTATCAATTGCCTTTTCGTAGTTAATGAAGTTGATGTTGAGTGATGAATTCCATTCAATTGATTGTTCCACAATAATCCGTAGAGTTGCGATTTGGTCTGTACACGATCTATCCTTACGGAATCCTGTCTGTTGGTCACGAAGTTGGGCGTCTACGCAGTCCTTCATCCTGTTTAACAATACTCTGTTGAAGACTTTTCCTGGTATTGAGAGAAGAGTGATGCCCCTGTAGTTATCACAGTTTCTGAGATCGCCTTTCTTCGGTATTTTTGATCAGAAGTCCTTCTTTCCAGTCTCTTGTTACTTGTTCCTCATCCCAAATCTTATTGAAGAGAATGTGAAGTATCCTTGAGGTTGCCGCTACGTTTGCTTTCAGTGCCTTTGCTGGAATGTTGTCTGGTCCTGCTGCTTTGCCACTCTTGATTCGTCTAATGGCCGTGCTGATTTCTTCAACTGTTGGTGGGCCAACGTTGATTGGGAGGTCCGTGGGTGCTGTTTCGATGTTGGGTGGGTTCAGTGGAGCTGGTCGATTCAAGAGTTCTTTGAAATGTTCTACCCACCTGTTTTATTGGAACCGGCGGTAGCCCCCGGAGGAACTCCAGGCGGAGTCTAGATATAAAGAAGCACCTTCAAATTCTTTCCATATTCATGTGATAACATTAGGTTTTGATTACTTATTAAATCAAAAACAGTCATGGTGCTTTGAATAACTTATGTTTCAAAAATATATCACGATAAAAGGTTAAATAAATTACTTTTTCATATGATTACTGTCACCATTAATAAGTATAATATACCTTAACACTGCATAGCTATGAATTAAGAAATTTATAACATTGGGTCTCTTTGTTAAAGTACTTTGTTGTATTTTATCGTAAAATAACCGTTGTAAATTTGATAACACTCTTTGTTCAATAAGATATTGATGTGATTACTATGGTATCTTTCCAGCCTGACTAATGTTATATTTAAAGAAATTAAATCTTTTGACAATAAGTATTAATAAATCTAATAGAAGATATCAAACACATGCAATGAGAAATAATGAAATATTAGCATTGATTACTTTCCATCAATAATGGTTAATTAATATTAGATTGTTGCAAACTAATTTCAGAAAGCTTAATATGATTTAAATTCAAAGTAAAACCTTTCAGTAATCTTTAAAAAACTGATTTACATCAATAAAACGATTATATTTTAGTTACTTACTTACTTACGCTTGGAGCATAGGCTACCGACAAGCATTCTCCATTCTACCCTGTCCTGAGCCTTCCTTTCTAGTTCTGTACCATTGTTGTTCATTTTTCTCATGTCTGTCTCCATTTATCGGTGTGATGTGTTCTTTGGTCTTCCTCTCCTCCTCTTTTGCCCTTGGGGATTCCATGTTAGGGCTTGTCTTGTGATGCATTTGGGTGCTTTCCTTAATGTGTGTCCTATCCACTTCGAGAGCTTCTTCCTGATTTTTCCCTACACTGGAACCTGATTTGTTCTTTCCCACAATAGGTTGTTGCATATTTTAAAGTTTGTAAAATTTAAATTATAATTCTCATTTAATGGAATTTTCTAGAAGTTATAAGATGCTGAAGCGAGACTCTAATTTATGAGCGAGCCAATCAGAAGCGTTTTAGAGATTTTAAGGGTACGGTGCCAACTTCAGTGCTTATTGCAAACGTACGATGGGTTTACAACGGATTTTGTACAAAACGTGATAATTGAGCGGTTATAACAAATAAAATGGCGAGACTATAATTTGTGGACGAATCAATCAGGTATAAGATAATAGGTCTCGGATTTTAACGTGAAAGCCTTTCATCCATTTTGCTAAATAAATTTCTGGCATTATAGCTGATATCAGTTCGTGATGAAAACCCCATATAGAATTCCTAACTAAGGTAAAATACGAAAATTATTGCGAACTGGATAATAAAAGCATCAGCAACACTGTCTGCAGCCAGGTACTACAATATATACGGATGTTTGGAGAGCGTACAGACTTCTACATAGGCTTGGTTATGTGCATCGTGTCGTTATCCACAAGTAGCATTTTGTTCACTTAACGACCGGAGTGCACATAAACAATATTGAAGCCATGTGGTTGAGGCTGGAAGAGCTTTTTGAGACTTTATCGTGGCTCCAGAGGCCGACTATTCTGTAGCCAAATGGATGATTTCCTCTACTGTACGCTTTACGATTTTAGAACCTCTGAACCTCTTTCTAATCTTGACAAGTTTTTGAACCACATATAAGAAGTGTATCCACTTTATTTCCTTGGTTTTGTATAGTATATTTATACTCTGTACTGACTGTTTGCTTATTGGCTAATATTTCTCAAGGTCGCTTAAGACTCATTCAAAGGTCGTCCATAAATTGGAATCTCGCCGATGCTGACAATAGCTTAACTTGTTTTGAAGAAGAAAAAAATCTATAATAACATGTGACAGTGACATCTATTAGACTATAGACACGGACTGGAGAGAAGTTTTATACTTACTTTTTTGGGGGAAAACAATTACATTCGAACAGTTTCTATACTGTTCGATATGTTCATTAATTTTTGTACCCATTTCGATCAAAATTTCATATTATTCTTTCTTTTTTTTAAAAAAAATTTCCTGTAAACGTGTTTACTTTCTGAATTCCTATTTTTGGCCACAATCAAATTCTTTTACTTTACTGATAGTTCTAAATTATTTTTATTTCCTGTAGCCAAATAAAAAAGGATAGACCTATAATGAAAATTATTAGAGAACAAAACAAAGATAAAAACACACGTTGAAGTTAATATAAATGTAGACTAGAGTATGTTATCAAGAAAAAAGAGTTCTCGATTCTGTTTATTTCTAGATAGGTTATTCAACTGAGGCTTTAATCATTAATAACTTTATTGAAGATCAATTTCTGTTAACTGAATTGGATGATAATAATTAATAGAAGAAATTGGATTGCAATTGGTATTAATCATATAAATTTAACATTTGAAATTATATAGCAAAGTTTTATAATCAGAAAAATGGAATTGAAACGAGGTTATTCAATCAGTAGCTAACTTACATATTTATCAAACTATAACAATAAATATTTAGTCTCAAAATGATATCTAACGGAGAATTTAGTTTCACTGGAATTATTCGATGTACCCTAGTGATTAGTACTTATTATTACGAAATTAAGGCTTTATGTACCAAAATCATTGTGTCCAACTACAAAATAAACTGAATTAGTCTATTGGCCGTTTACCATTTGACCAACAGCATTTGATTATTCTTAAATATTTCAAACTTTCTAAAATTATTTATTATTTTAGCAAAAAAAGCAAGTGATAAATATAGTAATAGTCAAAAATAATCATTTAAATCGGTTCAAGATCGGTTATTTTAATGATAGCAAATTGAAATGTATAATTTTCTTATATAATCGAGATTGTTTAAACCTAATATTTAAGATTGAGTTATTTAGTTACTGCTTTCTTTCGCTCTACCGTGAACAATGAACTAAAGGTTGACTTATGGAAAATACTATGATTTACGGTAACCTCGATATCGCCCTAATTTACAAGCATTATAAGCAAAGATGGATAGTGACTAGCAGTGGAATCCAGGACGCGCGTTTCGTCCTGTTTGGGACTCGTCAGCTGGATGTACCTGCATCTCAGAGTTGATGTTCACTCTGTGACTCGAACTCAGTACCGTTCGCTTCAAACGCCATCGCGTTATCCACTTAGCTACTGAGTCCTGATAGCCACTGCTTGTGCTAGCCACTATCCATCTTTGCTTATAATACTTGTAAATTAAGGCAGTATCGAGGCATACGCACAGTATGCGCATATGCCAATAAGAGACTGATCAATTTCAGTCCTAAAACATCAATGGGAAGATTCAAGTAAACCAATACCAAGTGAATTAAACTTCACCTCATTGCACAAGCAAGTGGCTATCAGGACTCAGTAGCTAAGTCGATAATGCGATGGCGTTTGAAGCGAACGGTACTGAGTTCGAGTCACAGAGTGAACATCATTTCTGAGATGCAGGTACATCCAGCTGACGAGTCTCAAACAGGACGAGATGCGCATCCTGGATTCCACTGCTAGTCACTATCCATCTTTGCTTAGAATTTCGAATAGCTTCAAGTTAGTTTTCGTAATCCAATGTGTTTAAGGCTGATAAAAGTTAGTCTTCATAGAATTTTCTTTGAATTCCTATTTTATTCTTATATGTTTTAGATCATATTACTATTACATTTATTTCGTTTATGTTAAAACATTTAACTGTGTGTTTAATCTAGTTCACTTGTTTCTGAATTAATACAGTATCGAGTGTTTAAGTTAACTTCTCAAATATTGGCTACCAATTAAATTAAATAAATAATAAATAATGTAAATGGACTGATTTCTTATTTTTTTAATTTAATTAAATTAATCATTGTTTTATGTTAACCTTTTTTTTAAATTACAGATACACAAGTTGATCCTTCTTACACTGTGACGTTAACTCTTTTAGCAGTTGGAGTGTTTTTGATTATTTTCAATATTTTATCTGGCCAACCACTTGCAATTATTGGTATCTCTGCTCCTATGTACATTGTTGAATCTTCTTTAGTATCGGTAAGTATTACTAGTGTTTCACTTTTGAAATGTATTACAAAAACTTTGTTTTCACTTTCATTGTTTATTTTAAAAAAAACAGTTGAATACGAATTACATTTTAATTCTAGGATTTAGGTTATTTATTTTTTAGATAATTATGGCACCATTTTGCTTACTTAAATGCAAATTTCTCATTATCGTAAATGTGCGTGCAACATTTAGCCTTTAACCGTTTTGCCTCCAGCCTGAAGATATATTATGAGCTGACAGAATTTAAGGAGGAATATGTAGGAGAACTTGTATGAGAAAAGAACAAGAGAAAAAGTGGGCCGACAACTCAATAAGCACGTAATATGTACCTACATTTATTAATGAAATCAATCGACATCAGTTGAAAATAACACAAGCATGAGATCAAAAACATCTAATAATCGAAGTTACAAATTGATAATATAGGGTTTCGAATGTCTTTTATGTGATCTGTTCGAATAATATATAAAATGAGCTGGAAAGATTGTTGTTTATGGGAACGATTGAATAAAAAGTCAACTTTACTGTTCTAAAATGTCCGTCATTTTAATCAGTTTATTCTTTGTACCCTATCTTTCACCAGCTTTTGTTTAGTAAAAGATTTACTTTCGTCATAAATACGGTTTTCACATGAGCGAATGACATTGCACCCGATTATACACACAATTTTGGGTCTTAGTCTGATCACTACTTCAAACTATTGTCAACAAATTTAGATATTAGTGATTTCTTTTTGCTTCGGAAATGTTAAATAGTCATGTAGGTGATATAAAATTTGAAAATATAAAGCAGCTTTACAGTTGAATTCTTAGGAAATGCCGACGTTGCTTTGAACAAAATTAACAAACGTGGAACAAGTATCTTGTTAAAATTAGAGAGTAGCTAGTTCATACATTCATCAATTATAGTATGTTTATTTTTGTTATCTGTTATTCGTATCAAGTATTAACACATTTAGAGAAAAGAATACACAGTCGTATGGCAGTCGATAATAAACAATTTGTACAGTTGTAACTATCAGTTTTAGTCCCATACACTAATAGACTTTAATGTCTACATAATCTAAGTTTAAAAGTTCTATTCTTAATAATTTCTGAATAAGAAAATTAAAATATAAATTTCATAGCAGACAATTATCCATCTATTGCTAAAGAGTAAAACACATCGTTTTTCTATGTATTCATAATTTTTTTAGCTTTTATTAGCCTTGTATATATTCAGCTGTCAACAACCTTCCTATCAACATTGTTCTACATTTCACAGCTGTACGGATTAGTTTGCATGATACATGTGAAAAGATTTTTAACAGCCGTTCACGACGACATGATTTATTAGTTATTAGTTAGTTTCATGTATATTTTGATTATTTCACACATCTGGTCTCTATTGATAATTGTAAAGGAAGTAAAAGCTATAAGATTAAAACAATAACATTTCTACTATGATTATTGATAGTCATAACCTCACTTTGCCTATTTTAAATAACTAAATATTCTGAATAAATATATCAGTCAGTCAGTTAATCATTGGCTAAATTGAACCTGGTACATACGCGTATCGGTTAAAGTTCCCACATCACATCAGCACAGAGACAAAAAAAATATCAAGACAAGCAGCGAAGTAGTAGAAGAATTAGCAGTAACAACAGTTGTAGAATAGATTTGTCATAGACACTACTATTTGATAAAAAAGAATGAAAATAAAAAGTAAAACGTAAAAGGTAATTTCTAAAAAAAATTAGATCTGAGAGTAGGCAGTGAATGAATGTTTGTATGACAATGTAAGTCTCCGAATATTGATTACAGTAATTGTGTGGACCCTGATCGATTAATCTGAACCTCACTTCGATAACCGATGACTTCATGGACTGATGCGTAGTCTTGGTTCGGCCGCTATATATATATATATATATATATATATATATATATATATATATATATATATATATATATATATATATATATATATATATATATATATAAATCCATAACTTTTATAATCCTCGTTTTATTCATACAAACTGTTTATATTGTTTAAAATATTTATGTTAAACTCATAAATTAACTAAATTTGTTTTCCATTGCTTGTTTCTAATCATACTTTTTTCCACATAAATTTAGACGACTTAAAACAAATAAATCATAAAATCATTTTATTCCGAATATTCAATCATTACTCATTAGTTTATTGAATATATGCTTTTTGTTAATTAATCATAAAGTTTAATTACTAGGCTTAATAAATTTAGTGAGCCACGTTATCATGAACTATAATGGATGGTTCATAATAATACGGCACTGAGTTTGGACAAAGAGGTATTGAAAAAATGTTCTATATTCTAATCAGAAAAAATTGGGAGGAAGAACAAGAATCCACAGACTTGAAAAAAGGATAGCTCATCAAGATACCAAAGAAAGGAGATCACATCAATTGTGGAAACTACACATGTATCACAGCACTTTTGGTACCACGATACATTTTCAACAGGGTGTTGTTGAACCGAATGAAAGATTCGATAGACACCAAACTTCGAGATCAACAGTTCGGATTCTGTGAGGATCGCTAGTACACAAACCAAATCATGACATTACGTATCATTGTTTAACAATCAAATGAATGGAACTCGTCACTATTAATCAACATTCTTGACTAAGAAATGGTGTTTGACAGTGTGGATAGGAGAATATTATGGAGCCTTCTTCCACACTATGGAGTGAGTAGCTGAGAATATCGTCAACATCATACGGAATTCATGCGATGGACTGCAGTACAAAGTTGCTCATGGAAGACCGAAATCAGATAAGGCTGCTTACTCTTCCGTTTGTCTTCTGGTGTTCCACTGGATTATGAAAACCTCGACTTCTAAGGAAAAGCAAGGAATACAATGAACAGCTCAGAATCAATTAGAAAATTTAGACTTCACAGATGACCTATCCCTTCTATGCCGAACACACGAACAAATGCAGATGAAGACAAGTAGTGTAGCAGAAGCCTCTTCATCAGTAGGCCTCAACATACACAATGGAAAAAGCAAGATCATCAAATTCAACACGGAGAACACCAACGTAATCACACTTGATGGAGAAGGTGGAGTTTTTGACGTAGCTGATCAGCATCATCGATGAACAAGGAGGATCCGATGATGACGTAAATACAAGGATTGGCAAAGTAAGAGCATCATCCCTACAATTGAAGAACATATGGAACTCAAAACAGCTGTCTGTCAATCAATATCAATGTCAGAATTTTCAATACGAACGACAAGACAGTTCTACTGTACGGAGATGAGACTTGAAAAACTAGCACAACCATCATCAAAAGTGTGTAGGTATTTTTGTAAACAATTGTCTATAAAAAATGCCCAATGCTCGTTGACCGGATACCATCAGCAACAACCTACTGTGGGGGAGAACAAATCAGTTTCGATCTGATAAGGAAATCAAGAAAACATAATGGAAGTGTTTGGAACATACGTTGCGGAAATCACCAAAATACACCATGAGACATGTCCGAACTTGGAATATTCAAAGCAAAAAGAACAGAGAAAAGCAAAGAACACATTGCTAAAGGAAGTGATGGCGAACATCAAAAGAGTAAATAACAGTGGGAGACAACTGAAAAGCAGATTTTAAAACAGAATTGTTTAGAGAATCCTAATCGATGTCCCATGTTCCTCCTTGAGGTGTAACAGGCATAAGTGAAGTGAATTATTATGAGAAAACATTTCCGAATGAAACAGATTCAATTTCTTAAAATGTTAATTATAATTTATAATTTGTTTATTACATTTCTAAATCTAAGACAACAACCTTAATTTTATTTGTTATCAATATCATAATTAAAAGAGACAGATTATAAATAAATTAATTTCTATATGAACATGTTTCATTTGCTAATGTTATATATTAGTTGAAAAAAGACTAACTGATTCAGTCAAGTTTAATTTCATTAATAGAAGATTTCAACTTCATGTCCATGACATTATCCTTTTGTAGATAATAGATTTGATCTGTTTTAATGTTCAAGAACTATTCCACTTGAATGATATTATATATATATATATATATATATATATATATATATATATATATATATAACATTGGTACAAGGAGGCACCAAGTAGACTAATACAATGAATTATTAAATTTTCCCTTTAGGCGTTATAACAAATCAAGATGTCACAAAGCATTGAATGTTAAATATTAGATTAGAGTCTGTGTTTCATAAAACTCACATATACGTGCTCGAACCTACTCTAATTCGTTTTTGGGAATATCTCTCTAATTTAGTTTTGAATATTTTACAAGGTTCATTTTTCATTTATATTTTTTCGATGATGAAGGAATTCTTCACCAAGATGTTAGTAATGGTTTAGTACAAAGGAAACTACCATATGACGTAACAAGAGTTCCATTGAAATTTCAGTATAGAAAGTAACACTGATATAAGTATATCGTGTTTTCGACTAAACGATTTAGGCGTTCTGAATCATATTGATATTCGCAGTCCTGTATAACTAAAATTTGACTGATAATGCTCTAATGATAAATATGTAAGAAAATGGTAAACTGACCAAGTGATTGATTAGATTAGCTTTAACTAAACGATTCTACCCTTTCATTTTTGAATATTTTATTATTTTGAATAAACGGATAACACATATTGAATATACCAAAAACAATAGATTAACTCAAAGAACAGTTCTCTTTTTAATCAGTTCCTTCTGAAACAAAAAAATGTACATGTTTACAGTTGTACAGCTTTGAGAATAAATTCACTACAGTGAATCAGCTTTTTTCTTTTGTTTTTAAGTCATATTAGGTAAATATCGCTACATACACAGATGCCTTAGAAATATTGCTCGCATCTGCTGAGCTCACCGGGTAAGTAATAGTGAGGTTAGACGCAGGGTATTAGGTAATGATGGTAAATCAGTTGATGAGGTTGTGAATCTTCGACTGAGACGGTTGGACCACGTGTTGCGTATGCCTGAACACCGATTACCACGACGCTCAATGCTAACTAGTGTTGAGGATAGTTGGAAGAAATTTAGGGGCGACCATACGAAAACGTGGCATCAGTGTTTGAAGTCACTGAGCCATGTTTGTAGATGCAGACTACTTGGTTGGGATCCGCGTGACTATCGTAACCAATGGTTTGAGACTCTTAGTGAGATTAAAATCGCCTCATATCTTTATACGTACTATATCTATATATATACGCAATCTTTTTCTCTATAAATATTATCACCATTGAATTAACCACTTCTATGAATCCGGTGTTCATCTTGTTGTTCTAATGCGGTATGGTAACCTAGACCGATGTATATACGTGCCTGGATCTATGTTGCAGCTGACTGACTGACTATACAAATCAATAATTTTTGTTCTTTTCTACTTAATATCTATAGTCTTTTAATTCAAATGTGTCTACCTCTATTGATTTTATCACTTCTCATATATTATTATTATTTTATTTCAACTAAATAAGAGAAAATATGAAAAATTTGTATTGTTATTAATACATAGTTAGATGCTCTTTCTAAAATAAGATATTTTGCTCAATATCTTACAATAATATTGTGAATAATCATTATAGATATTTGGAAAGTATTAGTTAAATATATATATTTGCATATATTTATTATGTTAGTTCCGAGTAATGATATATTATAGGTATTTTTATATAGAATATACAGGTCAGTAAACAAATTTATAGCCTAACTTCTTCAGTTTTTTCGGTGTTATTTCTTGTTTTTTTTGTAACCAAAGGACAAATATGTCAAGGTTATATGAAGCATTATTTTTTTTTGGCGTTACAGAAGTATGCTCATTGATGTGCCACATGGTTTACATAAGCAGAACATTATAATGTCTAAAAACTAAATTTGTACATAATCATATATATGTCTCTTAAACTTAAAAGATATATATGATGAGTATATTTATTAATTTATATGACTGTTGTGGATATTATTTGATAGATGTCATTAAAGATGATTATAAATGGTAGGTAGCCGAAAGGAAACCGCAAACTTCGGTTTCATATTAGTAGGTGCTTAATAACATGCTCTACCTATAATATTGAGTGAACTTGTGTTCCCTGTGAGATTTGAGCCTTAGTCGTCCATCTCCATAGTCTGAGGCTCTACTTCTAAGTTATTTGCGTCCGTGTCCCTCTAGATTGCAGTTATATTTACTTAACTAGTGCTTCCTAGCATGAAACTTAGGTTCAGAATTTCCTGTACGCGACCGTTTGACACCTAAATACAGTGTATGTGATGTCAAATTACTTAAATTAATGGACAAATTACATTTTGATCAATATAATTCGTTTAGTTCTTAAAAGATCATTCAAACATCACACTGTTTTACATTCGATATATCTGAAAACTTTTTCTAGTTCACCCAAAATACACTTCTGGCTAGATGTATTATTGTTTTGTTTCCTAATACCCTGCGTCTAACCTCACTATTACTTACCCGATTATCCCAGCAGACGCCAGCAATATTTCTAAGGCATCTGTGGTCAAATACTAGCAGCTTGCGAGTGTCTTCTACTCTTAATGGCCATGTTTCGCTACCGTAAAGTAAAACAGAACGGACTGCCGCGCAGTATACTCGTCCTTTTATTGATAGACGGATATCTCGCCTTCGCCACAGGTGACGTAAGTTGGCAAAAGCCAAACGAGCTTTCCGAATCCGTGCTGAGATTTCGTCCGATACCAACCCATTAGGGCTGATCAGACTTCCAAGATAAGTGAAGTTGTCAACGCGTTCGACTACTTCACTCCCTATCCTTAGTTCAGGTGTTAACGCAGACCAGTCCTGAAGCAACAACTTGCATTTCGAGGGAGAGAAGCGCATTCCAAACATTCTGGCATTGTTGCTCAGTGCTACCAGAAGACTTTGCATTTTGTCAGCGTCTTCACCAAACAGGACTATGTCATCTGCGTTGTAGCTGACTGACTGACTGACTGATCTGTAGTTTAATTCGCTATTGTGATACCTGTGTATAATAATGAAAAACGGTGATAAGGATTTTCCGATATGGTTATCGAAGTGTATACCGTCAATCACTACTCATTTATACTAAATTATGAAACAAGTGAATAAGAGAATATATTTATTAAACATTCACCAACTAAAATATTCATTCGAAATAAATGGAATATGACTAGGAGTGATATCCAGAACGCGCATTTCATCATATCTGGGACCCTTCATCTGAATGTGCGTGGGTCTAAATTAATATTCACCCCGAGATTCAAACCTTGTACCTTTGACTTCAAATATCTAACGCGTTATCCACTTAGCTAATGAGTCTCACTTATGAAAATTGATATATTGAAACAATCTGCACAATATTCACATATGCTGATTAAAACTGATCAAAATTCAGTCAAAAATATTAACAGAATAATCCGAAACTACTACAAATTAAAGTTATTGAAAATTCGATACGACTGGAAACATTAATATACGTTAAATTTGTTGAGCTTTATGGTTTAATCTTAAAGTGTTTACCATCCTTCTTAGAATAAACCGTTAGCAATATAAACTTTCAATTCAGTGAGTGTAACTCCACTAAAATCGTCCTACGAAGGTATAAATCTTTCCGATCATGTCACGATGTATTTTTAATTTACATTGAACTAATTAAAGTGAGCTTATTGAATTTCAAGTTACAACGGGATTTCAGTGGTTTGATATCTCCATTTGGATCGCGTTATCGGTTTAGACAACCCTTGCACATAATTATCGACTTAAATCGCGTTTGTGAATAATGGAAATAAGTACGTCAAACACGAGAATGGATTTTGAGTACATATATTTCATACAATCGTTGATGAAGACAGACTATCAAAGAAACGAAGCAAAACAAAATGATACGCGGTGGAGGTGTGTGAGCCAACTCGCTTTAATCAAGACTTAATCGATATTTATATTCAAACGAAAACAAGTTACAGACATGTAATGAATAGGATAAGCAATTTAAACACATGCGGCTTACATTAAGACATTCAAAGTTGATAAGCAAATACTCAACAAGGTCAAAACGTGACTAATAAATGAATTGACCAGTCCGAAAGCTATGATAAGCCATATGGGTTAGCATATCACTGCAGCGAATTGTAATAAAATCCCATCATATATTTATTAATAAATAAATCAATCCTTTTTTGTGCTTACATTTAAGTGCTTACAATACTTTGAAACTTCGCTTCTACATTTATAATCTTTATATCATGGGATGTGTTATTCATCATAAGGAAATCCTGTTTATATAGTGGTTGGTTATATCATTCAGTTGGAGACATTAGTGCTAATTTATTTGAATCGTGACAAACTTGACATCGAATGTTGATTATTGAAAAATCAATATAAATTACAAAATCGTGTCGTGCAGTCAAAATTGTTAACAGCTCCATCTTAGACCATCTAGTTCAAACAGGACATACAGCCAACATGAAGCAATCTTTTGCATTACTTTATCGTGTCAACAGCAGTCTACCTAATTCCGTCAGACTGCGAATCCTACAGACGGCCGAAGCAATTTCTATTCGGATCAAAAGGTCAGAGCTTTGCATCCAAAGAAGTTTGTTCAGCCACTCCTTTTACCTTGGCCAACTCTGGGGTCAACTAGCTAATAATCAATCTTATAATGTAGTGACGTAATCTGATTAATGTTAATTTTATATCCCAAACTTATTATCATTATTACTGTCATGATTATTATTATTATTGTCTTTACACTTGATAAACTTTTTTGATGAATTTATTCAATATCCACCCCTGAATCTATTATATTTGACCTAAAATAATTACATATTACGCAATTTCCGATTTGTAATCACAATATTCTCTCTCTCTCTCTTACCCCATGTTGACCATATTTGTTCTGATAATTTATCTCACAATTTCATTTCGCTTATAAACTGATTCAAGTTAACACTTCATAATAGTCAGCTCCAACATTAACGATTTTATTTCATATAACAAACAACAATTCATTGAAAAGAATATTCTTCGTTCATATGAATAGTGTTTTAATTTTAAAATCAGTTGTTTAGTGATTTATGAAAAATAAAACAAAACTGAATTGATATCTCTAAGTAATAATTCAATAATTTAATTAATAAGTAATCTGTCATTTTCAGAATGGGTTTTGTGGAGAGTTTAAGAAATTGAAGCTAGCTTCAACTGACTCATGAAATTTCTTAAACTCTCCACAAAACCCATTCTGATAATAATCAACTGCTCACTAGTGACTGACTTGAAGAAAAACTCCTGGAGTTCTAGTGAGAAGCCGTTACCAGTGGAGTTCAACCAGGTCTGTTGTGAGATAACAACTCACTGAAGACAATGGTGTACGGTGGCGCAACTTCGTGGATTGGTTCAAGTTAGACATTAAGAGCGTTGGATGCCGGCTCAGTGGTCTAGTGGTTAAGTGCTCGTGCGCGAAGCCAGTAGGTCATGGGTTGGAGCCCCGCGTGGTGCGGGATCGTGGATGCGCACTGCTGAGGAGTCCCATACTAGGACGAAACGGTCGTCCAGTGCTTCCATGTCTTCAATGGTGGTCTAGCTTCAACTGACTCATGATTTCAACTTGTGAAATCTGTCATTTGTTTATTTATTTTTTTCATCTTTTTTTTTCTAAAAAATTAATAAAACATTGCCCAGTATTATAAACATTAAATACAGTCAACAAAGTACAGTTTATAAGGTATTTAAATGTTACCGTTTATATCATTATTGAAGCTGATAAAGTAAAATTTAACTGATCAACGCACACACATTTACATTAATAGGATAACATTAGTTAATTGAATTTCATTTGTTTCCTTATGTTTTATCAATTCTCTTAATCCTATTTCCTTTCTTTCAATGTTGTTTTCTTCTTACTTTCCAGGTTTCAAGGAGTACAGGTGTCGATTTTAAACAATTAAGATTTTGGAGTGCTTTTTATTGTTCTATATTTGGTTTCATATTTGTTGGTTGTAATATGTCTGGGATAGCCAAACATATAAGAAGATCAGTAGAAGAAGTATATAATTCATTTATTGGATTTTTCTTTTTACTTAAAGCATTATTTACAATGTTTTTAGTAAGTGGTTTGATACAAGTTTGATTCTTTGTTTTTTTCATTTTTATTTTGTAATTATTTCAAATGATTGTTAATTGATGTAGAAATAGTCTACATTTAATATAGGCTAATAGTTTTGTTCTAGTATAGAATCCTTCCGAATAGCACGATCCCGTATGAAAAGTTGCTCAGCACCTTAAAGCTTCGCTGAATGACTTTCGCTCTGGGATCATTGTGCTAGAATCCAGTAGTTCAGAATTCAAACTTTGGTATTTATATCTTTGTTAGACCAATATTACTGTATAGTTTGGCCCCCATTTTATCAGTCGACTGGTATAAATATATTTGTAGAACGTCTGATAGCTTGCCAAACAGAATACAAATGTATAGTGGACTAGAACATAAGTGGGGACTATCGAACGTATTTAAATACAAAATCACAGAACATCTTAGTAAAATCTGAGAACCATACAGTAAATACTTAATTTGCAAAATGTCAATCAATCATACTTCACTGTTCTTTCATTTCCACGACAACCATTCTCTGTTCTCGTTCTCTTTACTTCGATCTTCTTAACCTTTTGCTACCAGGTATTTCACTTTTGATTTATGATACATACTACTTATATCTGTCGACATCAGTAGCACACACAACAAATGCACTCCATTAAAATAGCATATTTTTCTCAGTTCTTTGTTTTCCGGTTGTATAATAATCAATTGATGTTAAACACAGAATGCCTCATAACAGTATATAAATCATTTCATCAATTCAACTAGTGTAAGCTATCATATATCTGTAAACCAACACCGTATTAAGTGTTTTCTATAAAATAAGTTTCTATGAGTTATTTTATACTACTTCAATTAAATGATACGAAAAATGACAGGAATTTTTTATATTAACTACATTCATTTGAAAATATATGTTTGGACGACAACTAGTTTGATACTGCTTCCCATTATCATATTTGTAATGTTCTAAAGATTATTGATCACTTTAAATGTTTTAACTTCATTTAACTTCACGTAATTTCTTTTTGCTCAAAGACCACACATGATTAAAAACACAGTTGATTTTGAAAGAGACATTTCACCAATTTAAGGAAACTGTTCACTTTATAATAGGGAAGAATTTACCCTTTTAACTTGTTTAATCCTTTGATATGAAACAAAAGGTAATACCTTTAGATAGCAAAACGAAAGTTTTGTTAATTGCTAGCAGTTGTATGATCAGGGTGACAGTTTAATTGAAAGTTGTATATATTAATGGTCGTTTAGCTTCCCATGGGACTGGTAACATACGTTTTACAATATTTTTGTGATGGTCACAACCTACATATTTAAAGTGGTCATCTTACGACTAGCACTTCTTCTTCATAGAGATGAAATCTATGGGGCTTTTAGGGGAGCTATGATCGCTGGAATGATTAGTTTAGCTGTCTTACTAAACAACATCATCAACATAAACTTTCTGTAAATGTGTCAGGAAATTCTTATTGCTCACTTATATCTGAATATTTAACTACTGATGATTTTGTCAAGAAAGTCAATTGGAGCTCCAGAATTGAAGCATCTGACCCAAAGAATTCAACCCAACAAAACTCATCATTCTGAACAACAAATCTCCATCACCTCGAAATTTATACTGTTTGATTAACAAGAATTTACATTTTTCTAGTGAATATAATTGGGTTCAAACAATACGTCTTCATTATATCGGTCAACTTATTAGCCGAGTAGAATTACATTCAACTGACAAAGAAATTAATAGACAGTTAACTATCACTGGTTCCCCTTATACTTTTCTTTGTGTGACCGAACTCTTGGACAATATTAATGTAGGTCTATAGATTACAGTTATAACAGTGTATTTGATACTGTTATAGCGTTGTTAATAAATTCAGTTTGCATACAACTGAATATTACAATGAAAATAAGTAATATGAAATTAATTTATATATATGTATGGTATGTCTGGTCAACAATAGCAACTTGAGATCAGGAAAGAACAGAGTATACAGATTGATTTTCGTTTTGGTTGTTTGAAATTATTTGGCATATGTGCATACAGTGCGAATCGCTTCGATATTATTACTTTAAATCACAAGTATTATAGGTAGAGATAGATGTTGGCTAGCTATGGCATCCAGGAAGTGTGTTTCGTGCATTCCGCACAGGATGAACGTATGCCAATAAGAGACTGACCAAATAAGGTCCTAAACGTCAGTGAGAAAATTGAAACAAATAATACAAAAATGAATTAAACTTCACCCGATTGCACAAATTAGTGGCTACCCGGACCCAGTAGCTGAGCTAATAAGGCAATGGCATTTAAAGTGGATGGGACTGATTTTGAGTCCAGGAGTGTATACCAACTCTGAGATGATGGTACATTCAGCCGACAAGTCAACCAGTAATCATCATCCATCTCTGCTCATGGTATACAGATATTTTAATCTCCAATACTTTGCATGATACAATACGTATTTCTGTTAAATTCTAGTTGTATCTACAATAAATGTTGTGTAAGTTACCATTGAGAGTAAACCGCTAACATAGTAAAGGCAAGTTTGCATGTCTAAAGTAAGAAATAGTCACACAACTTTATGAATCATAGGTCTTTATGATGTATTTTCGGGGTGGAAAATTATTGAAAAGTTGTTTGTTTCTTGTTCAAACATACTAATTTTCAGAGAATTCTTAGATCTTTGAAGATTTAATCTCTTCAGGATCATTTATTTACTAAAATCGACTCAATAAATTCTTCAGACAGCATTGCTTTAATATTCTCGAGCTATTTTTCCGTTTAGAAGTTTGTTTGCATTAAATAGTATTATGGAAATGGCTTAAAAATTTGAATACTTGAACATCCACTGCTTTAGCTTGAACAACTGAGTAATATCATTAGCATGTGGCCCTAGGATCGTTGTACTAGAATCCAATGGTTCAAAATTCAAACTTCGGTATTTATATCTTTGTTAGACCAATATCACTGTATAGTTTGGTCCCCACTTTATCAGTCAGCTGGTATAAATATATTTGTAGAACGATTGATAGCCAGCCAAAGGTAATACCTATAGATATCAAAACGAAAGTTTTGTTAATTGCTAGCAATTGTATGATCAGGGTGACCGTTTATTGACTTAAATTGTAAATTCAGTTGTTTGGTTTGACAAGTCATCAAGAAATAAATCACTTTTAATCATCAATAATACACCTAACAGAAATGATTAGGAATTTTAGCTCATGAGATTGGGTTTATGAAATAAGTAACTCACTACATTTCATGAATTTTCATACATGAAATTAGATGATCTTACGATGAATACAAACATTAGTTAAGTATATCTTCCTTTTCAATGAAAGCAAATATTTTCCATATTTATTTAATCCATCTAGTTTATTACTAATAATCATATTAACAGTAATTATCAAAATTTATTTTATAAATTTATAGTTGATTCCTGCTAAACCTGTGGATAACACTCCAATATCCAGAATGGCTTATTATCAAAAATTAGCAGTAGCTGGAGTTACACTATTTTTAGCATTTATAATGCTCCAGTTCTGTTTAATACTTGCTCAGTTAAAACGTGGGAATTACTTTAGAAGGAATGTAAGTCTTTTTAGGTGTTATATATTTTTTTCCTTTTATAATACTTTCATAATATAAAATCTCTTCTGTATCTTTTCTTATACGGTTCATAATATCAATGTTAATCTTAATCAGTACATAGCTATTAGAAAAACAACATGTGCTCTACCGATTAATGTGACAGGTAAAGGTGCAAGTTTAATTTATGGACAACATTTGAATGACTTTGAGAAACTTCAGTTACTTTTTAAGGTCAAAATACGGTTAAAAATTAGTAATCAGAGTTAGGAGTCAAGATTAAGAATTGAAATTAGAGTTTTCATAACAAAGTGATATAAATTTTAATGTCAACATACTAATTATCTACATGGATGAATAAATTTCCTGTCAAAATCCAAGATTCATTATCCTAAATCTGATTTATTCGTCTATGATTTATGGTGTCATTCAACTGAAATTTATTTCGTTTCAGTGCACAACATGAAGCTATTTCATTAAAGTCAATAACTGTAATCCTGATATTCGATCACGTCTGCTTTTGAACGTTAATATTCCAAACCAATGAAATTTTTAAAGTGATGTTGATAGAAATCTAGCACTTAGAAAAAACTTACTGATAAAAATCAACTTGCATCACATAAAATGGATGAAGTGGCTAAATCAGTTCCTTCAAAGAACTGAATTTATAACCATCTTCCTCCTTAAAATGACAAGAAGCTTCATCAATTAAAAAAGTGAGAATGAGATGAGTATAAATGGGAATACTAGTCCTGTTTTTTCTTCAAAATGAAACACTTTTTGATAAACGATTTCTTCTGTACCGAATAATTCTGCAATTGTGTTGTTTTATCAATTAAGCCTAACTTTTGAACCAATGATATTTTAGCCAACCAATTTATTTGTACATTTTTCTACTTGATATATATATGTATATAACACGTAACTCATAGGAAAACTAAAATCATGAATTCAACCATAGAATTACAAAAATCATCAGTGACTGGCTTCAAAAGGTCTTTCCTGTAGTTCTAATGAAAAGCAATGACCAGTAGAGTTCAACCGTAACTCACTAAAGATAATAGTGGATGGTGGCACAGTAGCCGGCTCATTGGTCTAGTGGTTAAACGTTCGCGCGTTAAACTGTTAGGTCCTGTGTTTGAATCTCGCGGGGGGGCGGGATCGTAGATGTACACTGCTGAGGAGTCCCACACTAGGATGAAACAGCCGTCTAGTTCCTCCAGGTTTTTCATAATGGTCTAACTTCAATTGACGCATGAATTTAAAATAACTAAAAATCTTCACCCAAATCCCTTTCTGAAAACAAATATTTAATAATAAAAAAACGGAATAAAAACTATTCAAAATATAGATTTCATTATGTAAATGTTTGAATGGATAAAATAAAATGTTTATTTTTTTAAATTAAAAAAAATGAGATTTTTGACTAAAGCTAGTTCATTACTTAAATCATTAATTATTCATTTATTCACTCATATATATATATATATATATATATACCATTCCTTAAAACAACCAAATTTAAGACCAAAAAAAAACGTCTCAAAAGTTTATCACCTTATAAAAAATCAACTAAATAACTATTGTTAATCAAAAAGTATTCGATATCTCTTTTCTATTAATTCATATCTTATTGTTAGCAAACACTTTATTATCTTATACAAGATTAAATCTATAACCCTTTAAGCAATGAATGGTTTTATATTTCATCCTGTTTAATATTGTTATTATATTTTATTGAAGTGATGTCAATGAAGTCTTAATAACTATTCAAAACTTCTTAATTCAACATTACTTACTTACGCCTGTTAATCCCAATAGAGCATAGGCCCCCGACCAGCATTCTCTAATCTACTCTGTCCTGAGCCTTCCTTTTCTAGTTCTGTCTAATTATTGTTCGTTTTTCTCATTTCTGTCTCTATTTCTCGAAGTAAATTGTTCTTTGGTGTTCCTCTATTCCTTTGGCCATGAGGATCCCAAGTGAGGGCTTGTCTTGTTATGCATTTGTGTGCTTTCCTCAATATGTGTCCTGTTCACTTCCAACACTTCTTTGTGATTTCCTCCTCCTCTGGATTCTCGTTTGTTCTCTCTTATAGTAGGTTGTTGTTGATAATGTCGGGCTAACGAATCCGAAGTATTTTGCGTAGACATCTGTTAATAAACACTTGTATCTTCTGGATGATGGCATTCGTAGTTCTTCGAGTTTTCTCCCCATACAGTAGAATTGTCTTGACATTTGTATTAAAATTTCTGACCTTGATGTGGATTGACAGTTGAATTCATCAATAGATCATCGTTAAAATCATCCTCAATTTGTATTAGTCTTTTACTATTACTTATCGATATTTAATTACTTCTTGTTTCTGTCAGCATATTAAAGGATAATTTTTTTTCGTATTTATTACCAATCTATGTTCCGTCTTAATAAAAATGAAAAGGTATTTATAAACATTTACACTAATTTGTGGACAATTTTTTCTTAAAAAATATTACTCTATTTAATACGTATATACATATAGATTAGAAAACTTCTGGGTGCTTTAAATGTCCCTCTTGGTATGTTACTTATTACTGGATTGGAAAGAATATTCTTTCGAGGTTATAATTTACCTACTGTAAATATACCACCATCAAATCAAGTTAATGCATCGACATGGGTTAATCCACCGAACTTTGCACGTTTACAAGATTATAGTAAAGCTGCACCAACACTTATTCATGGAACTTCAATAGCTATTGGGGTGGCATTGGCTATTATTATATTTACGGAAGCAGCTTTAAATGGGTAAGTATTAGAAAGATTATTAAATATAAAAAATTTTTATCAATCGTAGTAATGTGTTTTGTTGTACCGATTGATTGTTGAATAATGAACAATATAGTGATTTTCTAATCTAAATTACTGATCAAATTCTGCTAGTCGTTCTTATTGTGACCAGTAGTCTTATTAATTCTTGAAATCTCGGGAGTTCCATAGGCGCTAATGATTAAATAAACCCTACATATTGATCAGTCTGCATAATCATTCAATGCTTATGGAAGGGGCTCATTAAAACCACAAGTAACTCAACAGTAAGATTGGATGGGGTGGGCCAGATTCCAATGAACAGATTCAGTTTCCTATGTGTTTTAAGCATTCATTGGATATGAATGTCAACTAGCAGGAAACTTGGGTTAAGCAGAGCTTCTTTCAGATGAAATACAATTAAACAACAGTTTCTTGAATGATAATTAATAAACCTTTCCATTATGAAGTCGAGGAACACATAATATAAAATGAAATTACAGAAAATGAATTACAACACACAAGTTAACAGAAACAAAGGATATGTTAAGTAAAACTACGAAGGACATTTTACTTGTTATTGAGGTTAGTATATATTTGAGAGCACTGAGTTACATGATTTCGTCATTATTACACTGAAGTATTTCAAATGAACACTTTGCATCACTTCGTTGATACATATATTCCTTATCACAATGCCTACTACAATGATATAAACACATCTAATACAGTGCTTAAATGAAAAGAATTTTCCCTTTGTGTGAAGGAACGTACATACTTCAGTTCAATCTCTAAAACTTTCATCAAAATAAAATGGGCATTTACTGTTAAAATATTCACAATACAAAAAGTTCTATTCCATTGATCAAAATCTGAAATCGCTAAGCATATTGAGAATGATTCCTACATTCAGTCAGTTAGGACACTGACAAAAAATCATGTAAACGTAGATCAGGTTAGCATAGCAAACATTCGATATCCGGATGGATATAAAGATAAACAGACGTTTAAAAATAACTAATCAATAGCATGGTCAACATACACAGAAGCACTTTAAAATGCTTGCTTATGTTTCAATTAAATACTTATGAAGTTGTCCAGAACGATTACTAAAGTTTCACATATAAATCATACAGCTCTGAAAACACAATATCACCAATGCTATTTACTTGAGCCACGTATTTTCTCTATCATCCACTTATCATAGCAGCAAAAGTTTTTTAAAAAATCAAAATATATTCTTATTCCACTTTAATTATAAGCCATGACAAATGAAAACCAAATTGTGAGTTAGTCTAATAGAGCATACTATACTAGGTAAGAATATTATTATTATTATTAGCTTTATTCAATATTAGATTTTTGGTACAATATAGAATTCTCAGCGCAAAGTATTTCAACAAGTTTCCGTTTCTTTCTTCTTGGTCGGTCCTGGTGATAAATATTGAGTGATCACCAGTTAGATGTTAGCAGTTCACTGAATGAATATGTAAATAATGTGCATTCTTTTCATTGTACATTGCCAGCAACCACATTGTCTCTTATTGAGTTTTTTGTAATTTTGATAACGAAAGGTTGTACACTTTTCAGAAACGCAGCAGAATAGGTTATGCGATTAATAAACATAACGACATATTAAAACAAACAAAAATAGATAACTTGTTGAAATATGTAGATGGCAGGAACAGGTAGCCCAAATGCTCAAGCAGGCCGCCCTTTGAGCTTAACTGTGGTCGCAAACATTATTCAGCTCACCATCCTCAGTATCTCATTTTCTATAAGAGTTTAAAAAGTCCTCAATTCTGCCTCATTTCGAAATATTTGGCGTATAATTCTGTATACATATATATTGCCTAGAGTGAAACACATCTAACAATATACACATATTTTTATTTTATTTTCTGAATAAAATGAATTTCTCATCTTTGTCATACTATGAATCAATAGTAGTTAAGGTTATTATTTACTTTGATTTTGATTCACATGATTTACTCATGTGGATAGTTAAAAAAAGTAGTAAGCTACAGTTTTGACAGGGTATACTATTTTACATACAAGATACACAAGTATATAAAATAAGTGTTTATGTCTATTAAATATCTTTTTCTCCTTGTTGTTGTCGTTGTTGTCCTAATTCAATTTTCATTTTGATACACCTATGTTCTATGTAATTTCTTAAACCGTTTATCATATCAATATCAGACTATCATTCTTATAGTCTTTATTTATTTGCTTACGTATAATTCACAAACTTACTGTTTGTTACAACTGATGAAAGGATAATTTTATAAAGAAAAATAAAATAAAGAAAAAAACTTAAGATGCAAAGATCATCATTTAAATAATCTAAATTTAATAAGAATAAAACTAACATTGAACTAAATCATTTTCAAGAGTTCAATAAAGTATTTTAGGAGAACTATCAATAGTTCCTGATATGAATTACGTAAGTTCTCTGTGAAACCATCAAATGAACGAGAACTAAATAATTTCATGTTTCAAGTTTTGTTGAATCGGTAGATCCTAATACAACACAACTGTTCTTCATTTCATAGGATTTGATCACAAACCAATTACTTTATATTTTCACATTAGCAAAACAAAAATAATTTTCCTTTATTGTAAATATTGGATCATCATGATTAAATACATTATTTTATAAAGTAAATTTTATTAAAATTAAATGCTAATAAATGTAACAATTGAATGTCAATATTTGGTTTGAACACAGAACTAACGAACCAAAATTTATTCGATTAGACCAGACTACGTTCTTTTGTATAACGTACGAAGCGTTTTTGATTTATTCGTACTAAATTATGTCAAAACACAAACTCTGTGCTCAACTTAAATGGTTCTAATTTAGGAAATAGAACAAATTATATCAAAAATACAAAATACCTCAAACGGTACAGCCTGTGTTATACAGTCAAGGGTTTCTCTAACACAAATTAGCGTGCTAAACAACAAAAAAAACTAGTTATTACAAAGACTTTTAATACCTGAGAATCAATAAAAATATTTCCAACAAGATTGGATCAGATATCTATCTTCAGGGATTCCAGCAACCATTCCAAGCAGACAGTCAAAGGCTAACAGTCACACACTGAACTACACCGTGATCTTTAGCCTAGTCAAATACGACCTTATTGTCGATAGCTCGGCAACATGCAACAGAAAATTTGGTAACAAAAGGTATGTCTTTAATCTGTCACATAATAAAAAGCTCAGACGAGGAAGACAGAAGGACATAAAATGTGGTTAGAAAGAGATCTGAATAAAGGTTAAAATACACGACAAGGAGGAGAAACAAATAGTTGACAGTACGGTCCAACAAAAAATGCTGTGGGGGGATTTTCAGCCTTTACTTTCTGTTACAACAAGTGTTTCAATAGTTTTGAAACATATCAGCAGCTTTCCTGTAGTTTATGAAGAGAAAACCATCCTCTTGATTATCGAAAAACCTACGGCCGATGGTGTGAACAATATTTGAATTTAATGGAATATATATATCTGTTCTGTATTGAAAGTATGTTTGATTAATTTAGACTAGATCGTATAGCACCCTACTGATTGGTATCATAATAGTCCAAAATTATTCCACTGTTATCGACAGTTTTCTATTCTGTAGAGTAGCTATCTATTAGTATTCACTTTCATCTCTAAAATGCATCTAAAAGAAGTCTGTAATTGATGCAACATAAAATAATTCAAGGTTCGAGGCATGCTGCACAAACCAGTAATTTTTCTTTGAATTTAGAACAATGTGACATCAGTTTCACAGTAAAATCACACAACTCAAAGCTAAACTGAACTTTTTAACTCTATACAAAGAGGGACTAAAATATATTTGTGAAAAACGACTGTAGATCAGTCAACTATAGAAGTTCATCAAAATTCAGTATTTCACCAAGTGATTCAATGATAATTCTCTGTAACAGAGTAGCAAATTTTCATAAATCGATTTGTACGGTGTATGCCTATTGATGTACAGAAATACAGAAACAATGTTTCCATTAATAAATTTATATATTGTTAACAAGAAACGAAACACATTTATTTATTATTCTTGAATTCTAGTTATCAAAATATGTCTATCTAGCAATTCAACATGATCCATCCACCCCCCACTCCCAAAAATGATCAATGATATTGAATCATGTTAGAGTTGTTTAAACAAGATAAGTGATGTTTTCAACGACCTCTTACATGTGTTCAATTCATATTTGTCAAGTGAATGAAACAAAATTTCTGTTTTTGACTAGATTAATTATTACTTATGTTTTATTAGAATAAGTTCTGTGGAGAATTTATGAAATTTCACAGGTTGAAATCATGATTCAATTGAATCTAGACCACCATGGAAAACCTGGAAGCACTGGACGACCGTTTTGTTCTAGTATGGGACTCCTCAGCAGTGCGCATCCACGATCCCGCACCACGCGGGGCTCGAACCCAGGACCTACTGGCTTCGCGCGCGAGCACCTAACCACTAGACCACTGAGCCGGCATCCAACGGTGTTAATGTCTAACTTCAACCAATCCACGAAGTTGCGCCACCGTACACCATTGTCTTCAGTGAGCTGATATCTCACAACAAACCTGGTTGAACTCCACTGGTGACGGCTTCTCACTAGAACTTCGGGAGGTTCTCCTGAAGTCAGTCGCTAGTGAGCAGTTGATTATTAGAATGAGTTTTGTGGAGAATTTAGGAAATTTCACAGGTTGAAATCATGAGTCAATTTTGTTCTCTGAGCTGGATGGTTTGGTCGTGGAGCTTTCATCGTTCTTCTGAACGACATCATCAGCACAAACTTCAGACCAAACCATCCAGCTCAGAGGACAAAACTCCACGAAAAGCTTTTGCTTTTTCAGTTCATCTGCATTCAGTATAAACGTAAAGTTTCTGTAGAGACCGGTTTAATTTGTAAATGGTACTTTAAACAGATTGATCTTGACTGAAAGTTCTACTTGCACTTTCTGATAGCAGAAAGAAATAGCTGTTTAGAGTACCATGGTTTTAAGTGGTATCTCAGTTGAAATCAGTTTGTTATAAAAACCACTTACAAAAAAGCCCATCTGGACAAAATACCTTCAATAGTTGCTGAAATGTATAAATGTAGACGTACTTCAAAATGATTTACTCAAGTTTTAGTGAGAGGCCATGATGGATGAAATTAAGACAACGGTCATTCATTGATTGAACATATTTTTGTTTCTAGAATAACTGCTATCTTCCTACCAATATATATGTATATATAATGTGTTGAATTTTAGCACATCACTTCTAGGCCAACAAGTAGTCTTTATATAGCTTGCTTCTCCAAATTCAGTCAATAAGTGATGTTGTAGTCAACAAGAACGCAAGCAGTGACAAGAGAGCAACTGAGTAAAATTCGAGAAACATACTGTAAATATTTAATTTGCAAAATATCAATCGATTGTTTGAAACTTGACTGTTCCTTTTCCAAATAATGCCCCAGACTTCAGTGTTATTTTGTTTCCACACCAATCATTCTTTGTTCTTGCTGTCTTTCCTTTGATCTTCTCAACCTTCTGCCTACAGACATTCCACTTTCGTTTGATGATACATACTACTCACATCTGTCGACATTAGTAGCATACATCACATATTACTCTAATAATTATCAAATGTTGACCAGAACATCTGTCTCATATTCAATACGTTTGGGGTCCACTTATCATGGCTTGTCACCTAAACTTCAAGAATTCGTATTTAAGCTAGTCATTCATGGACTCCATACGATGGAACGAAACTGTCTAACTTACTGATCGCATTTATTAGCAACTAAACTGTCAAATGTCAATACCCATTCTTGAGTAGTACAATACTTATACCATTCCTTTTAACAATGTATTAAAATGCAGTTAAAACTATTTCTATTTCTGATGACAGTTGTTACTTCCTAACGTTTACACTAATTTCTTTTGAGATACTTGGAACATGAAGACTTTAACAAATAATCAACTATGATATTTAATTAAGTATTATATAAAAATATAAGAAATCATTCGATCTAATGTTTGGTTTCTTATTGTTCCGAATACCATAATGGTGGTTTGACTTTTATTCAAATGACCAACAATTTACGGGGAAACGAAACGATAAACAGTGGTCTACTAATTTTTTCCCATTAAGTAATCTGTGCAATTATACCTTATGATAATATTCTCTATTTCTTATATACTCCATTTTTTACTGCATGATCTTTTCTTTATTTTTCTATAAAAAAAGTTTAACAGCAATGAAAAATAAAGCTGTGAAACCGAATATTTTTGTTATGGATTTGGTATTGTTACAAATTATTTTCCCTACTATCAGTGGAATAACTGGTTGGCCATTTATGTCTGGTACAACAGTTAGAACACTTAGCAATCTTGTTGCCCTAGTCAAAATGGATCAAAGTCCTGCACCTGGTATGCCTCACAAGTATGTAAAATATACAAAATGATATTGTTTATTAAATATATTTATGGTTGAATAAAAAATAAGTCAACAATGCATTTTCATTTAGAAACTAATCAATGTAAATCATTTTATTAAGTCATTTATGGTAATTTGTCTAGTTTGAACATAGATTTTTTTTCCTGTTAATTAATACCAAAAGACTGGAATGAAGGACTTCTGATCAAAATACCGAAGAAAGACGATCTCAGCAACTGTGATAATTACAGGGACATCACTCTTCTCTCAATATCGGGAAACGTCTTCAACAGGGTATTGTTAAACACGATGAAGGACTGCGTAGACGCCCAACTTCGTGACCAACAGGCAGGATTCCGTAAGGATAGGTCGTGTACAGACCAAATTGCAACTCTACGGATCATTGTGGAACAATCAACTGAATGGAATTCATCACTTTACATCAACTTGATTGACTACGAAAAGGCATATGATAGCGTGGACAGAACAACACTATGGGAGCTTCTTCGATACTACGGCGTGCCGCAGAATATAGTCAATATCATACAGAGTTCATATGATGGATTACACTGCAAAATCGTGCATGGAGGACAGTTGACAAAGTCTTTCGAGGTGAAGACCGGTGTTAGGCAAGGTTGCTTACTCTCGCCCTTTCTCTTTCTCATGGTGATCGACTGGATCACGAAAACGTCAACATCTGAAGGGAAGCACTGGATACAATGGACATCTAAGATGCAGTTGGACGATCTAGACTTTGCAGATGATCTGGCCATTCTATCCCAAAAGCAACAACAAATGGAGGAGAGGACGAACAGTGTGGCAGCAGCCTCAGCAGAAATAGGTCTCAATATACTCAAAGGGAAAAGCAGGATTCTCCGATACAACACAGCATGCACCAATCCAATCACAATTGACGGAAAAGATTTGGAAGATGTAAAAACCTTTACATATTGGGGCAGCATCATTGATGAACAGGGTGGATCTGATGCAGATGTGAAGGCGCGGATCGGAAAAGCAAGAGCAGCATATTTACAACTGAGGAATATTTGGGACTCAAAGCAACTGTCAACCAACACCAAGGTCAGGATTTTCAGTGCAAATGTCAAGACAGTTCTACTGTATAGGAATGTTTTTGCCTCTGCTTGTACTTCTATTGATTGGCAAAGATTTGTAAGCATTTCGCCAAAGTTGAAGATTGATATAAAGATAGTTCTATAGAGAAAATCTATTGCATTGCATCCTTTTCTTAATATTTACTTATATAGTTCTTATGTTCATGAAGAGTTATAATACGTAAAAGGAGTTTTATTTTACCTTTCCGCGATACATATCTAATCGTGTTCCTTTGCTTCATGATGTTTAATTCAAAATATCGATAATATTTCCGTGTATTAATTATTCATCTCTGTGAAATAATGAAAGTGGACAGTTTTAAAAACTTCAATCTATCTAAAACTAGATACTTTATTATTAATAATATGGTCGAATTATTTAGTTATATCATTAAACTGAAGATTTGAAAGAAAAATTCGAAAAAAATTATGGCTTATATAAAATGAAAAGCACAACAACATAGTCGTTAACAACTTGAATATTTTTTCCCACTTAAAGTAAGTATAAGCGATCTTCGGCGTGAACACGTTAATGACTTTTCTGGAAAGAGTTTAACTATGTTTAAATAGGATTATCTTAGAAACATTTTTCCTCACTTTAACCCATAGCTCTTTCTTTAATGTACGATATTAAACTAATTTTATTATACTATGAATTCTTAGTAAGTCACTATATTCTTATGAAACCATATGTTAACAGCGCATAATGAATACTCTTCTCTATGGTATTGGGGAAACATATTTTATCAAGTGTTAAACAATAGCCTTAGAAAATGATATTAAATATTCCCATAAATAAAGGATTTTACTTACCGCGAGGAGTGCATAATGCATCGTTATTCATGTCTTAAATTTATTTAAGATGTTCCCATTCCTTCTGTCCTTTTTCACTTTTGTGAGACGATATACTTGTTCGTTATTTTCAAGTTCCTGCTTTAATAAACTAAAAAAAGATTTCCACTTTTCAAGTAAGGATATACTGGAGGACTATCTGTTTTTGAACGCTAACTCTAGGGATTGAACATTAATTAATATGTATTTATCACTGAGAATTATGCGGTTGTGATATTGAATTATCAGATATCCTCTCAGAGCAATAGTTCATTGTACTGTATTAACAATTCATTCAGCTTGTCTCACCCTACTTATGAAACAATATCGTCAATATGTAATAGAATAATTGATAAATTTTATCAATGACCTATGTAATGATGTTACTTATTATGACTAATTTTTACGTATGATTCTATCATCTTGTAAAATTCAACTATAAACGTTGGAAAAAACGAGACATTTTTGTTCCACTGGTCATGTTACTTTTGTATTCTCCACATCATGATGATAGCGTGTTGAAGTTTCATTAAAACACATTATACTTCACAATAACAGTTACTTATAAGCTATTAAATAAATATATTGTTGATGAGTTGAATTTCTAATTGGACATTACTATATATAATCAAACAAACTCTAGGCATGAGTGATTAACAATAATCGTTATTTCGATACTTTGTCATTGACGTGAACATGTGATATATATCTATATATGTTTGTTACTATTTAAAATTTACTCATTACAAAATATGATAATTGTTTTTGGTGGAGTTTTGTTCTCTGAGCTGGATGGTTTGGTCGTGGAGCTCTCATTGTTCTTCTGAACGACATCATCAGCACAAACTTCAGATAGAAGTGAAATGTTTCACAGCTTGTTCTGTGCACCTCGACGTTGATTGGTTCTTATTGACCTTAAATTTATCATTGCTTACTTCTTTGTTTTTGTTGTATCTCCCATTGGTTTGATTTTTGTTCCTATATTTGTGCATGATTTTCCTGATTGGTTGGTAAATTGGATTGATTTCAGTATGCTTGTTGATTGCTGATTGACCTGAGTGCCAAGCTTCTAAAAAATCTCTGGTGTTTTTGGAGTTTCCTATGTTGTTCCTTAATGTCCCAAATAGATTACTTGACTTAGTATGTAATTCTGTACTGTTTGGGTTTTTAAAAGACATGATTTTCTTTTAAAAGGGAAATTCAATTGATCTGCTTGAATCCAAATTCATCTAAAATATATTCTGACTTCTATATTCGTTTATGTATAACCCAATAGCTCTTAAACATAAATACATTCATAACTAACCATAGAAATTCTTCTGTTGCTTTTCCAGACTAACTTGATTAACATATGAAACCGCAATGAACATTTGGTGTGATGTAATTTTAATAAAATGCAGTATTATTTAGATTGTGGATAAATACAATATTCTATGAATGTTTTATATAATTATCTTTTATATTAGAAGACAAATATTCACTGTAAAGAGATTACATAAGTTACTGTAGAATTGTTCATGGTCAAAACACAGTTAATAAATTTTTTTGCGTTGATAGCTGGTGTTGTTTGAAGCGTGTAATACAAGCGATAATAGGATGTTAATAAAAATTTATTTTTCATTGTAGGATTGTGGGAACAGTAGAGCAACGAGTTAGCGGTGTATTTGTGGGAATCCTTGTTGCGCTTTCAATATTCCTTGGATCTATATTAAGCAACATTCCATTGGCTGCACTCTATGGAATGTTTTTATACATGGGCGTAATGGGACTGAGAGATTTAACATTTGTTTTAAGGATATGCTCCTTAATGAAACGTCGAAAACACTGGGAAGATTGGGAATGTGTTCGTGGTCTTCCCAGTAGGCATATACTAGTCTTCTCACTTATTCAAGCTGCAGTTGTCTTAATTCTAGTTTCATTGAATATAATTTCTGATTTTACAGTAGCCAACTATGTTGGTCTTATCTTTCCGATCATTATTCTCATCTATGGCCTTATTCGCGAATTCGCATTGCCTAAATGGGAATGGTTGGCGTTATATTTACATCAAGTATGCTCAGTTATTTTACTTTTGTTTGGTTTTATAAAGTATAACCGATGTATAAAATGTTTGTATTATCTATCCCTTATTTTCAGTCAGTATATTATCGTCATTTAAGTCGATGATCGTCCATTCCCTACATCTACAGCTCAACTCTTCCTTAACTTGCTTAGAAGTTACTAGTGTTTTGTCAAATGGAGAATATTGGCATTTGAACAGAGTGTACATTAATTGTTCTCAATAAACAATGAAATAACATCTTTTAAATGAAATATTCGCAATTCATAAACAATAATTCACCCGAAATAATAAAGCATTTTATGACAGTTTAGTGAAGAGGATTTTCTTTTCTGCAACCGTACTTATGCTTAGTTTGCACATGCAAGTACTGGATTGCTGAAAAGTTATCAAAAGTTAGTCAAAAATTCAGGTCTTAAGTACATGTTATGTAGTCGTAGAATCAGTTAACTGAAAATAAAGTATAAAAACAAAGAAGCGTGAAAGTTAATTTTCCACTTGATGAACATAAAGAAGAATTAAACACATGTCGAAAATTATGACAGGCTAGGATCAGCGTAAAATTGATAATTGGGCACAACAAGTTCGATTATAAAAACCAAGCTTTATTGATTGAATACCTTAGGCTCTGGAATGAATACATTTCTAATCTAACTTCTTTCAAAGCCAATACGTTTAACCTTGACGATAATTTTGGACGAAGATTCTGATCAATTTCGCTCTTCACACTCTATGAAACTCGACAGTAATAATACTTATCAAGTGATTATGGATTATGAAAGTATGCAATAAACAAAATATTTGATCACATAATAGTAAACTTGGAATGAGACATGATAATTATTACACATATATTAATCACTAACTGAATCAGTTCACTGAAACGTTTATCCAATAAATCATTATACAAATAAAAAAATACTAAACTAACCAGCTAAATACTTTCCTTCATGATTACTAATTTTTAAAATTTCTAACCAAGTTCTAACTAAAAATATCACATCCCTCCTTTAGAGGTTTGTTTATTTTTTATTATATTCATTTTCAATATTGATAAACAACTATATCAATCATCGGTAAAACTTACTTGCTTACTTACGCACTGTTGTTACTTCTCGTGAAGGAGCATAGGCCGTTCACTAGCATTCTCCATCCAACCCTGTCATGGGCAATCCTTTCCAGCTCCTTCCAGTTGTTATTCATCCATTCATCTATGAAAATTTTTTAAAAATATATTTCTAGAATGTTGAACTTAAAACTTGGAATTTAGCTCTATATCAAGATTTTCCAATCATTTTAGTTCAATTGGTGTACGCCATAATTTTCTATCAACATCTTATTTAGAATCTAATTTAAGGATTTCTAATTGAGCAGGTCATTCAAACAAATACTTTGCTTTTATCATCAAGTAATTTAATTTTAACTTGGTATTCATCATAGATTGATCCCATTTAAAGAGCTACTGAAAATGAGAGAGTGCAGGTTAAATGTTTCGTTCATTTATAGGATTCCTCATCAGAGCGTGTTTATTACCTCCATACTCAGTGATCTGATAGTTAAGTGATTTTTATAGGACATATATGTTTTAGGTTTAACACCTAGTGGTGTCTAGGGATATAAACCAACAAATAGTCTCAAACCACAAGAGAAAATGCTCTTGTGTTTTTAATAGTACTCAAACTAAGATTATTCAGGTTTTAATATCATCTTCACGTTTACTGATATATTGTCAACAATGATGAACTAATAAAATATCAAGTTGATCTCAGTTATACTTACTGGTACCATTAAATTCCAACAGCATAAATAATAATCAAGAAACCCATAAATTCCATTTTATGAAGCTCATCGATTTCAAGAATACTATGAAGTTTATGACCGTGATACTCGACCCCGAAGACGCATGTAAGTAAAGATGTCGTTTACTTCAAAAAGGATTCATGCGTTCAAAGAAGCATTCAAATCTGTTATCCTAGACAAGTCAGTATTTTTTTATAAATTACCGAAGTTTCTTTATTTCATTCTAAGTAGTTGGAAATACCATAGATTAAATAACCCTCAGTAATGATTATATTTTGATCAGACGTTTGTGAAAACCTTTTACATCATGGATTAAGTTTATCATGACAGACGTCGAAAAACAGTACGCACTGAACAGCTCCTTGTTCACATTTGGGACTTATTAGCAGATAGGTTCTAAGATGAGTATTTTTTGAAATATGCGCGTAGCTTAAATCTTATGTACGGAAAAGAAACAGTGTTTTATTTTGGTAGAAATTTTTTTCATATAGAGTCCTGAAAATAGAAAATATACTTTGTATTTACGTGCACAAATTTATTTTATTTGCCTCACACGTTTCACGAATCCTGCTTCTGATTTATTGAATTTTCGGGCTTACTGTTACTCTAGAAAATCTCCAATTTTATCCACTGCCTTAATTTATGCTTTTCAACCTTTTTTTAAATTAATGATGATGATACGGGTCAGGATTCAGCTATTTCTATCGTTTTTGTATTTACATTGTAACCACCTAATGTAAATGAGGGGCTGTTTGTTTGCTCGTTTTTTCTAATTGACACCTATTTGCTTATTTATATAAGTAAAGAATGAGAAACAAATGTACAATTATGCATTATTAAAGGTTTGAAATTTCTCGTTGTTCATATGAAGAACTCTAATTGAACAGCATTTGTTGCCTATTTTCTCCCTGAGCGGATCATCTCCACACAGCATCTAGTTATAAGTTTGAGCGATAGTCGTTGGGTTCAAGTTGTAACGTGAGCCTCAACACTGTGGTGCAGGTACGTTCAGTTGACAAGCCTTAAATACCACATGTACAGCAAGGGTGGGAGGTTTGTGAAGATTGTTCAATTTGATCACCTACTTTATTCAGTAGAGTAGTGAAAGGTAAGAACCACTGGACAATTAATCCGTTCAGTGTAGTTTAATAATATCGAAAGAGCTTGACATCATCAATTACTTTTTATTATATTGGCATAATAACGCTAATTAACTGAGTTTGGAGATGAGAACGACTAGATACAAATTCAGTTGTTTAAAAGTAAACACTGATAAAGTGTTCCATATTACGACATTACAGTATTTGTCTGGTTCAATTCAATGTACAATATATTTAAAATGATTTTTATTAAATTCAGATACTGTAATCCTAATATCAAAAAGATGAAAACACCGTGTTTTGGATTAGATCACTTATTATCATCATACCTTAACAACAGTATCAGCACTAAGACAAATGGAATGAATATTAACATACTATGCTATTTTCTAATAGCTACAACTCAATATAAACTTTAATAAATAATGATAAAGTTCATAATATTGAAGTATGTTTTATTGTTATAAGATATTACCTTCCATATGTGCACATTATATAATTTTTACACAAAGTATGTAAATATGTTCATCATATAATAAAACCCATAGATTTATGATGGAATAATAATTTTCTCCATAAAATTTCTCACCAAATTTCACAGCTAAAACTACAAAGTAATGGGTGAAGTAGTTTAGTCTAGTTTCTATAATCAATATAAACTTGAATTATGTATCCTTAAGTATAAAGATTTTCCTAGCATATGTAAATATTGAAATAATTAGTATTTACTAATTATTTGAATAAGAAACTATATTAACTAACATAATGAAATTACAAATCTGAAAAACGTATATAAGTAAAGTAGAATATGAAATTAAATAATATCTGATGTTTTGTTATATGTTATGAAATAAATTAAATCGAATAGTTGAATTCATAAGTCAATTGAAGCTAGAACGCTATGAAATGTCTTAAAGCACTAGAAGGCTTTTTCACCCTAGTATAAGAATTATCAGCAGTGCTTATCCCCGATCTCGCCTTGCGAGATTCGAAACCAGGATCTATCAGTTTAACGCGTGAACGCTTAACCTCTAGACGATTGAGCTGGCATCCAACAATGTAAATGTCTAACTTCAACTAATCCATGAAATTGAATGACGCCACCACCACCATTGTCATCAATGATTTACTATCACACAACAGACCCAGTTGAACTCTACTGGTCACTGGTTCTCACTAGAACTCCAAGATATATCACTTGAAGCCAATCACTATATGAATATGTATCTTTAATTTTGAACTAGAATAACCATTAAGGCAGTAATCGCATAAACATTAGATATTACATTTCATAGAATTCTACTTCTTATTTTCTACTGTGCTTCAAAAGTTTGGTTTTTTTTTGTTTCACATCTGAAAAAAATGTAAACATCATGTTTACATAATAAATATTAGGAATAATAGAATTTACGTAATCCATTTGAAAAAATAATAATAATTTACTACTTACTGGATAAAGTTTATGATAAAAAATATTTGGAAAATCAAATAATGAAAATAAACAGTGCATATACTATCAGTTACTGTAATACTATCATGAATGACATAAATAGTTTGATGTTCTGTTTTCCTTTGATCATGAAAACAATGTAACGTGATTGAAACAAAATAATTCTTTCTTGTATATGTTTGTATATCATTCCACTCTTAATATATATATATATCATATTCAGAAGGGGTTTTGTGGAGATTTTTAGAAATTTCAATAGTTCAAATCATGAGTCAATTGAAACTAGACCACCATGGAAAACCTGGAAGCACTGGACTGCTGTTTTCTTCTAGTATGGGACTCCTCAGCCGTGCGCATTCACGATCCCGCCCTCCGCGTGATTCAAGCCCAAGACCTGTCAGTCTTGCACGCGAAAAGGCATCCAAAAGTGTTAATGTCTAACTTCAATCAATCCACGAAATTGAGTGACACACCCACTATTGTCTTCAGTGAGTCGATATCTCACAACACACCTGGCTGAACTCCACTGGTTAAGCGCTCTCGCGCGAGACTGATAGGTCCTTGGTTTGAATCTCGCGGAGGGCAGGATCGTGGATTTGGACTGCTGAGCAGTCTCATACTAGGACGAAACAGCCGTCTAGTGCTTCTAGGTTTTCCAAGGTGGTCTAGCTTCAATTGACTCATTATTTGAACTACTGATATATATATTATTTATTTAATATACGAACTTATGGTTTGATGGTAGAGATTTGTCGATCAGGTGGATGATTTTGATTTTTTTTTTCAAAAAAATAAGTACTGTTTCCAAGGGGTTTAATTTAAACAAACGCATATGTTTGAGTAGGATCACTTCATTTTTGTCGGTTTAATTATTTTTGTTGCATATCATGGAATTTCACTTTGATTTTCCTTGATAAATTCGCCTTTTTTCTAACTTTATCACTGGCTCTATAAAACATGTAATTACTTAATGAAATGACTCTTAATTTGTATAAGATTTTTATTGCTATTATGATCAATAGTAATCACCAGGATAACTTTACATTTCCAGGTCGTTGTTATACGACCATAGTACAATAGATATATGATTCTCTCTTAAGTTTTATTAACCAAACATTATGTAAGAATATAGGAAGAGCTCAACTTAAAATTTATTATTTCATATATATGTACCACAGTATAGTAGTTACTGTAATACATTGCTAATGGATTTCTAATTGATATTCAAAATTTTGATTTTAATTTTGTTAACGCTGATTGGTTATGAAAAATCCAATTAATATGTAATCCACTTAATACTAACTCAGATAATTTCTGAATAATCGATCCATTCTATGAGTAAAATAAATTAGTTACTGCATAAACTACCCACATGATAAGCTTCATTTTTAATTTCAACTTTCAAATTGTAAATAAAGCTTAAATTTATAATTTTCAGTCAATCAGGATAATAACCTAAGTAAACAGAATACACCCATTAAGACATTAAGCAAGAAAGATTAGTTCAACGAAGAGTTCTCTTCTTGGCGAATTCATTTTCAAAGTATATATATATATATATATATATATATATATATATATATATATATATATATCGTTGCGTTTGTACAGCTTTGGAAATGAATTCACTGAAAAGAGAAATCCTCGTTGAACTAATCTTTCTTATTGAATAACCTAAGTATTAACATTTATAATTGTAATAAATTTTTAACAGAACTAATAATTTGAATGAAGTTACTTTGGTTAGAATTCTATCAGTGTAATTATTATTCTAGTAGTATTTTAAAGTCAAGAAAATTGGTTTATTTCTATGATTGTGGTTCAATTTGAATGGTTTATGTTTTTGTGATTAGAAATAATTCTTATTTCTGATTAACCAAATCATTGATCAGGAACACAAAACCTAGGATCAGAGTTTCTTTCCTGGCTATTTTCCAATCAACAAATAATTATTAATTTCAATGGCTAACATCATGTGTCAATTGAAGCTAGACCACCATGGGAATCCTGGAAGCACCGGACGGCCGTTTCGTTCTATTGTGGAACTCCTCAGCAGTGCGCATCCACGACTTCGCCACCTGCGAGATTTGAACCCAGGACCTACTGGTTTCGCGCGCGAGCACTTAACCACTAGACCACTGAGCCGGCCGATATCCAACACTGTTAATGTCTAACGTCAACTAATTCACGAAATTGAGCGACATATCCACCATTGTTTTCAGTGAGTAACTGTCTGACAACAGACCTGGTTGAACTAAACTGGTCACTACTAATTATTATTTAATTTAGGAATTTATTTTATTAATGCTATTTATATCACATATTTTATGTTGTATTTTTTAGCTTGATCGTAAGTATAAACTACATCCAAGTGTTATGCGTAAACCACCATCAACTGTACGTAATTTATCAACAATACGTAAAGAAAGTGTTGGTAGTTTTGCATCGGGTGGTTTAACTGTTACATCACAATTAAAAACTAATAATTTTATTGAATATATTCATGATCATGAAACAGCTTCATATAGTGATATCAGTGAACATGAAGATGGTGTAGTTCGTCGAACTTGGGCAACATAAATTCAATAGAGACGTATAAAAATCAAGATCAAATATTAATTACATATTTTTCTACTGATTACTTCATTCATTCATATATATATACATATTACTTCAATTTTCTGTTAGTGTACAACAATTGTGCAATGTAATAAATAATAATAATAAAATAATACTATTCATACCTCTACACTGAACTACAAAATTTATTACTCTTTCAACGTATATCTTCACTTAGTTTGTGTACTATCAAAATTTCAATTGATTTAACACATTTGATTTTTTTCTTGTCTATTTGTTCACTAATTTTATTCATATACAATTTAATGCGTTTGTTAATTCATGTAGGTAACTCTACTCTACATATCCTTTGAGTAATATGATTCTATAAAGCGGGATTACGCCTATCCTACATGCCGTTGATATATATAATCCCATTCCATTGTATCGCTTTTAGTTTACACTCAGTTTTGTGTTCATTTTATTCTACACAAATATTTGATCCAAAAAAATTATACCATAATTCACTAGGCTTTATATTTTTTTTTGTTTTTTAGAAAAATAAAAAAAAAGAGAAAAATTTCATTATTAAATTACTTTATAAAATTTGTGTGTTCCAGTCCTGTTGATCTCATTCACCTCAGTATATATATATATTTTTTCTTCTTTTTTTATATTTTATTTTTGTTGCTTTCTTTCACTTAGTTGGCAGATTCAATCAGAACACTTCTATATATATATATATACATACACTAACACATAGAAAAATATCATTTCACATATACACAGGTAATGGTAATAGTTTATTTACATTGAAATCAAGAATATATTTATATATAGTTTCAGTGTTTCTTTACGCTTTTTGTGAACTTCTACTTGTGAACATTATACTATGCATTGAAAATATTGTTGGAATATCAAAATAATACAACTATTTTGTAATATATATATATATTTACATATAAAATATCATTGATTTCAAGGTTTCTTTGATTGTTTAACCAACTAAATTGTAATAATATTGAGGGGTATATATGATCGAACTCATGACGTTCAGATGTGACAGTGAATAAAGTTTATTCGATTTATTATTCATTTGAATATCAGCGTCTTATACCTTAACTTTTCAGTCACACAATATGAGCGTTTAACAGCTAGTTAGGTTCTGAATTGGTTTACTCCATAATACACGTCTCAGAATTTATCCTGAAGTCAGTGACTGCTGAATATATGATTATTGTTTTATTTTCATATAGTTTATGTCGAGCTATTTAGTTTAATGGTGGTTTCTGTCAAGGATTGATGAGAAGTTCTAAATTATGTACAATGTGCCTCAGTTTTTAATGACCGATGTATAATAACTTGTCAGCTACTTTTTTATAGTAACGAATTGTAAAAACATTTTTTTGGTGCATTTATTTTGTGTTGACATTTAGCATTGTAGGCTTATAAATACAGTTTACTTGAACATATGGAGTATTAATATTGGTCACACAGAATGAGCTCTTTCGAAAATCACCTCTGAATATTATCTTGACTAGCTCTCCAAAGGATTACAGAAATCATTCAAAAGCTCAATCTTGGAGTATAATAGTCAATTTTGGCTAATCCACTTCACTAGAGGTTTCCTCCAAAATGAAACACACTAAAAAGAGTCGGCTCAAGAGGAATGAAAGTGAAAAACCTATACAGTAGAGGCTATTTCTTTCCAATATTTCCAGCTTCACCTTCCATGGTCTTAACGTGCCTTCCGATCTTACATAATCCATGATTTTCATTTTCGTTTTATTAATTCTACTCTTTTCGAATTTTTTTCACAACTATTAGTTAGCAATTATCACAACTTATTCCGTTATTAACAGCTATCAAGTGAAGAATTATCTTGACCTTAGCACACTTCACTAGCAGATTATCACTTAACTTCTTTTCAATATCTATTTCAAGATTTCTTTGAGTAATTAGCACCTTTCTATCTTACCATAGAACACCAATTTAGCAACTAAAATTAATCATAAATATGATTAGGCGACTTAAGTAAATGAAATAATCGAAAAGAAAATTTTCTTTGCTAAACTTCTTCCTTTACTCTTCAGTAACACAATGAATCTCTTTCATCATAAATAAATATCATTGAAAACTTTATCATTTGTAAATCAGTAAGAATGGAAGTAATTTCAATGGTTGAGATCATGAGTTAATTGAAGTTTTATCTTATTTATATATTTTAACACATAGATATTTGTACAAAGAGGCAAGAAATACATTTGCGCCACACAAATCTCATTCGATATGTGTGAGGCCTGTGATACTGCCCGGGTGCCCAAACCGAAGTAGGTGGTTTTCTTGGGGGGCCACACCCGGAGCCTTCAGCCTGAAGGTCCGATCCACAAGGCAGTGGAGCATCGTAAGGAGATGCAGTCCCATGGCAGCCGGTGACCAACAATTGCTTCATACACCATTTGTTCCCACAGGATACTGGAGCCCATATGCACCATTGGTTTGAAATCCGGTTAAAGCGTAGGACATTCGCTTTTCGTCCTCTCATTTTCGTAAGCAACACCCTCGCCGCGAGAAGGCAGTGAGTAGGACTTCCTTGGCAGAGGCTATATACGCGTGGCCGTGTGAGAGCATTGCGAGAGGGAGAGCGAACTCTCCCTACTCTCGGCTGTACTAGGGCCACCGTGGAAAACCTGGAAGCACTGGACAACCTTCTCGTCTTACTATGGAACTCCTCAGCAGTGCGCATCCACGATGCCCTCCGCAAGCGCTTAACCAATGGACCACTGAGTCGACTTTCAACGGTTATGGTTTCGAATCTCGTGGCGGAGGCGTGTTCATGGATGCGCACTGTTGAGGAGTCTCATAATAGGACGAAACGGACGACCTGCGATTGTACGTTCTCCATTATAGTCTAACTTTAATTGACTTATGAATTCAATCATTGAAATTACTATTAGAATATCTACAAAAAAAGCCTTCTGATATAAAAATTGAAGTATCTAAATAATCACTGATCTACCAATTTAGAAAACTCTAATAAATTATTACATTATACTGACAAACACATTGAACATTTTGACTAATTTATTATCATATTCAATATTATACTATTTATCAAATACCATAAATATGTCATGGTAAATAATAATAGAACGGAATTAAGTAATTATTATAAAAGAAATAATATAACGTTAAATAGCCGAATTTTATTGAATGAAATAATTCAACTAATTTACATATGATAATTTCCCTTGAAAATGATTCAATCTACTTTTGTGAATGAAGTAAATAGAATAATTGAACATTGATGAAGTAAAGATAAAATTGACATAATTTCCTTCATGTTTAATTCTATTCTTTAATGATGATGTACAAATCTAATTGAGTTTGTATATATATATATTACTATATATTTCATGTGATAAGGAAAATCGATATGAAAAGACTATAATTTATGGACGAACCAATCAGATTTAAGATAACAGGATTTTGGCGCAAAATTCATTCATCTATTCATCATAATATCTTGTTAGCATTATAGTTGATGTTAATTTGTGATCAAAAACCATAAATCTAAATTCTAATCCTTAACATTGACTGTAAATTATTGTCTTTATTAAATAAGAACTTTCGTCTAAATTTGAACGAATAGTTTTACAATATTCGGACGCTGAGTTAATGTGAGACATTAAAGAGGAAGAATGTATTTGTAAAATCTCAGAGAAAGAATTTGAAGCAAATCCAACGTTTTGCTTAGCAATCTGGTCCAAGCTTTTTCAAGGAAAATATAATCAAACAACAAAACTATCGAATACATTCTTCCTCTTTGTATTGTCTTTATTCTTGAAACTGCTTTATAACTTTCATTTAGCCCTATTATATAGGTAAACACTCTCAAGGTCACTTTGGCATCATTCAAATGTCGTCCATAAATTATAGTGTTACCTTGTTTTTAAGTAGATCTTCGCGCGCCAGACCGATAAGTCCTGGGTTCTGATCCCTTGTTCAGGATCGTGGATGCGTTCTGCTGAAGAGTTCCATGCCGGGAAGAAACGGCTGTTCAGTGCTTTCAGGTTTCCATGGTGGTCTAGCTTTAATTGATTCATAAATTCAACTATTAAAATTACAATAATGTCCACGAAACTCCCTTTCTGATAATTAGATTTTTGTCATATTTTATTCTTATATACAGCAATATACTTATTTGCATTTGTGTAATATTTTAAACCGGTTGGGGATATTAATGAGCGTTTATATAACCAATCATAAATAAGACATTACATGATGACGGACGTAGTAGTAGTAGTTACCAAAAGAATAAACATGACAACGAGAACAATATTTGGGTATGAGAAGTAGATCAAAATTTGTGCAAATTAAATTTTTCATTGAGGTCATGAACCGATCAACGTTAGACCACCATTGATCCGTGTGATTAAGCTGAATTGAGTACTGGTTTTATCCAAGGAGAAGATGCTCTATAGTTGGTTGGCTTACTTCTCCGGTAGTACATCTTATATTACTTTTTTCTCGTAAAGCACTTCAGTTCGTGAATAAATGCACGACGTAATAGTCAAAGCGGGTAAATTAAACTTAGAGCGGAAGAAATTGCTTCATTTGTTCTTCAAACTAAGAAAACTAATCATATTAAGGAAAAATTGGAAAAAATGGGTACTTTGAAATTTTATCCATAGGTTACTGGATAATTACATTTAATTTTATGGGCTACCTTATATACAATGAATAATATAATTTCCAGTTAACAGTTGGTATTAACAAGGTAATTTACAACTTATGATCACTGAGTAGTGACCATTATAATTCATATGAAGTCTTTATCGCTGATCAAATTCAATCATCCAAGTTGAAATGCAGGTACTAGTCCAAGTGAATCGACATCGCATGTACAATGTTTAGATATAAAGCGGTGGTTAAAGGTAGTTGAAAGGAAACCCTAGTCCGAGATTTCATGCTATTTGCAACTAGTCAGCAAAGTGTATCTGTAATCTGGAGGGAACTGA